ATGGGGTCGCGCCGTGGCCAGGCCTGGGAGCGGGGGCCGCAGGGGCGCGTGCATCCCGGCTGCGCCTGGCTCAGCCCGCTGGCGCCCGGACTTCTGCTCCACTGTCTGCCCTCCGCCTGGGAGTGGGCGCGGGGCGGGGCCGGGGCGGGGTCTGAACGCCCCGCCCCCGGACGCCCCGACCCCGCCCGGGTCAACTCCACGGCTAGAACCCGCAGGCACTCAAGGACTTTGAGGCGCAGGGATATCCAGACGCTCCGGCTCGGACAGCCGGCATCTCCACCCCGACGCGCGGGCAGCCAGCGGCCGCGGGTCAAGACGCAGGGCGGTGACACTCTCTGCTCTTGGAAGGTGATCCCCGCCCCTCCGGGAGGAGGGCGAAGTGGCAGGTGCGCCGGCCCAGCCTCCGCGCACCAAGAGCGGAGCCTTCCTGCTGGGCCAAGCGGCTCAAAGAGGACGTGGACCCCAGGCGCCCGCCTGCGAAGGGAGAATCGGGCCAGGCCGGCACCCTCTGCGCAGAGAGGGCTCCCGGGAATGTCCGGAGACATCTGGGTCAGGAATGAAGATGCTGGCGCGTCCTACACTCTCAGGGCAGTCCGCCCTGCCATGCGTCCTGCGCTACAGCCCTGCAGGGTGGAGACGGCTAGCCAAGTATCATTTTAGAGATGAGGAAGCTGAGACTCAGCGAGAGAGGCGCCTTCCCTAAGGGCCCAGTGGGTGAGCTGACACTGAGACCTAGGTCCACTGACACTTTCTACCGCTGGACACCGTCTGTCTGCTTGGCCTGGCCCACCTGCCATTCCCCTGCAGCATCAGTGACCCACTTGGAGCTCTGGAAAAGTGGCTCCCCATTGCATGTGAGGACTCAGGGAGTCCTGTACTGGGGGCTGCAGAAGGAGGAGCCCCCGTCCTGCCCTCTGAGGGGCAGTGAGCTACAGAGGTCAGGGGCAGCTCCCCGTTTGGAGACCAGCTGGGTGCTGGCACTCTGCCTGTAGCTTTACATGCCTCCAGGCTCACCAACCCAGGAAGGTAGCGGGGAGCGAGGCTCAGGCAGGGTGAGCGTGTGCCCAAGGTTCCGGGTAGAAGGGGAGTTGGATCTGTGTCCTCCCTCTGCCCCGTTGCAGCCTTCAGGGACACATGCTGGATGCCTGGTGGGCGCAGGCACCTCTCCAGCCAATGCCAAGAGGCCTCTGCCCTGGGTTCTGCTCACTAACGAGTTGTTACTGGGCCTAATGGCATCTGGACAAGTCCCAGCAGCCTGGGTGCCTCCAAGGGCCACGGGACCTCTGTGACCCATAGACGTTTCCAGAGCTCCCACCCAGGGCAGACCTGGTTGGAGGGACCACTGGCCTGGACCCCCAACCTAGGTCCCAGATGCCAAGGCTGCCCCTGCTTGTCAGGGCAAGCCTTGGCCCGGAGCCCTGTGGGCGGCTTGTTGGCACGGCACTGCCCGCGTAACATGCTGGGACTCGTAGGGTCACAGGAAGTTCTTCTTCTGGTCTAGCTTAAAGTGAGATTTGTTCCAGATGGGTTGGTCCTCCTTAGAGCTAGTCTGGAGAGGGTCCTGCCCCACCCTGCTGTCTCAGCAGCCACCATTCAGGGCCCCAAGTTCCAGCATCCATTATCCCTGGCTGGCCCGGCATCTCCCTGCACCAGCACCCCAGGGTCATTCCCACCTCCAAGCCTTTGCTCATGCCGTTCCCCCTGCCAGGAATGCCTTTCCTTAGTCCGCCATCTGCTTGAGGAGCAAAGGACTTTCCGGGAAGAATCTACCAACAGGATATCAAACGTGTTGGAGGGGGAGAGGGAACATGGGGGTAGGATTGGAAGTTGGAGTAAGGTCCAGGGAGAAGGAGTCTGCTTGGGGAATTTGGGAGTTGGGCCCCTCTACTGCCCCGACCACCATCCAGCTCGCAGGTGAGAGCTAGGTGCAAATCGGGGACACCTTAGATGGCATCCGTGGGACTGCTTGTTTACCAATGTATCCCCACCACCTAGCAAAGAGCCTGGAACGCAATAGGTACTCAATAAATGCTGGTCTGCAGAAGGATATGAATGAGAGGAGGCGTCAGGGGAGGCTTCCTGGAGGAGGTGATGATGAGGTGAGAAGGAGAACATCCTCCCGTGGACAAAGGCTGGGCAGCAGAGAGAACCTGAAGGGCGGAGGAACCAGGTGGAGCTCAGGCCCTCTTGGGTGTGGCGGAGGAAGCAATGTCCTGAGAGACCCCCTGCCGCTGGGTCCAAGCCCCGCCCCACTCGAGCCATGTGGCCTCAGGCAGGCTCCTCCCACCTCCCAGCTTCTGGCTCCTAAGCCGAGACTGTGCTGATTGCGAAGAGCGTTTTTCAGTGTCAGCTTCGTTAGGACACAATTCAAAACCGTACAATTCGCCCGTGGGAAGTGTGCGGTGGTTTTAGTACATTCGCAGAGGTGTGCGACCACTGCCACTACTGAATTCTAGAACGTTCTCATCACCCCGAAAAGAAACGCTGAGCCCATTAGCAGTCACTCCCTGTCTTAGTCATCTAGTGCTGCTCTAACAGAAATACCGCAAGTGGATGGCTTTAACAAAGAGAAGTTTATTTTCTCACAGTCTGGTAGACTAGAAGTCCAAATTCAGGGCATCAGCTCCAGGGGAAGGCTTTCTCTGTTGGCTCTGGAGGAAGGTCCTTGTCATCAATCTTCCCTTGGTCTGGAAGCATCTCAGCGCAGGAACCTCAGGTCCGGAGGACGTGCTCTGCTCCTCGTGCTGCTTTCTTGGTGGTGTGAGTTCCCCTCCCCCCCTGCTTGCTTCCCTTTCCTGTTATCTCTTGTACGATAAAAGGTGGTGCAGGCCACACTCCAGGGAAACTCCCTTTACATTGGATCAGGCATGTGACCTTAGTAAGGGTATTACAATCCCACCCTAATCCTCTTTAACATAAAATTACAATCACAAAATGGAGGACAACCACACAATACTGGGAATCATGGCCCAGCCAAACTGATACACACATTTTTGGGGGGACATAATTCAATCCATGACATTCCCCATTTCCCGACAACCACTGGTTTACTTCCTGCCTCTGTGAATGTGCCTCTTCTGGACGTTTCATATAAATGGAGCCATACACTGTGTGGTCTTTCGTGATCGGCCCCTTGCTCTCGGCTTAATGTTCTCAAGGTCCATCCATATCACAGCAGGTATCAGCACTTCACTTCTCTTGATGGCTGAGTGCTAGTTCATTGTACGGATATACCGTACTTTGTTTATCCGTTCGTCTGTTGATGGATGTTTGGGTTGTTTCCACTTTTTGGTTATTAGGATGAGTGTCACTATAACACCTGTGTACAAGTTTCTGTGTGCACATATGATTTCGTTTCTCTTGGATCCATACCTAGGAGCGGAATTGCTGGGCCATAGGGCAGCTCTAGGCTTAACCTGTGATGAATTGTTTCTAAAGGTTAAATTTGGTAATTACAGAAACTTCCTCTGCATGCTCCTTGTTCACAGTACTGCTTCCTGCCCCCTCCCCAAGCCCCATGTCTGAGCAGCTCCTCCATGCTGAGCCTGCTCTTCCTTGCCACCAGGGTCCACCCCCAGCTCCCACGGCTCCCTCATGTGCAACCTACAGATGGTGGACCCCCCTCTCTGAGCCACTGGCTGAAAAGTGACCTTTGGGCCCTAAAAGGGATCAGGCCATAGGGGCACATGGTGGGTGGCGTCCCTGCATCCTGGGAGGGTCACTCCTCCCTCCGCGTGGCGGAGCCCCCTCTGACAAAAGGAAACCGGTTTCAGCTAGTTCCTCTTGCCTCAGCTGGCGTCTTCCGGGAGCCCATGGCTTTGAGGGTCCCAAACAGCCCAAGTGCATTCCCCTCTCACCTCGTCTGAACCCCCAGCCAGGCAGACAGCTAAGCAGAGGGTCCATCTGTCCATCTTCCTTAGCTGGGACATCAAACATATGACCAAGAGGAGAGAGGTCTGGGAGGGGAGAAGGGGGATCGAGTAAACACTGTCCCTGAGGGAGGTGGCAGGGAGGCCCCGGGCAGGGGGGACAGTGGTGGGGCCCCAGGGGTGGGGGGTGGGGGCAAAGTCACATAGGAAGAGGGTCCAGCCTGGCCTCACAGAACCATGACCCTGTCCCTGGCTATGCGGGGTGGCCCTCCATGTCCCCTTCACAGACTGTGATTATTTATTTGTGGGTAATGTTTGAATCCCATCTGTCTCCTTCACATGCCCATACCTCCGCAAGGGCCAGGGACCTGGTGAGGCTTCGTCCCTGCTGTTGTTCTGCCCCTAACCATCAGGGGGCGCTCAAAACTGGCTGTTGTGTGGGTGTGGGTGTGGGTGTGTGTTGGGGGGCCCTCCTCTTTCCCCCGCCCCCTCCCCAGGGTGGGCACCCCCAGCCTGGGACCCCGCAGGCAACAGGGCAGGGCGCTTAAGCACTGCCCCACTCTGGAAACTGATTAACGATGACGCCATGGGGTTCCTCCCTCCATGGAAGACAGCTGGCACAGATTTCACACATGTGGGGCCTCCAGGAAGTCCCTCCCCCGGAACCACGCCCTTACCCCCCCCCCCCGCCCCAGACCTACTCCCGCAAACAGCTTGAGCTTCCGGAGCAGGTAAAGGGGGGGCAAGGGGAGGGGGCTGCGGCCAGGGGGCGGGCCCAGCTGTCCTTGATTTGTGTCGGGTCGCGTTTTTCCACGTGGGATGCTAGAGTCACGGAGCACAAAGAGGATGCCGTTCCCTCCAGGGAGCGCCCCCTGAGAGAGCCACGCCAGCCCACTGCTCAGAGCTACCTTCGGAGGGGGCAGAAGCCCATGGGAGACACGGCCCAATGCAATACTAATGGCGTGTGTTTTGGGGGAACTTGCTGCCTGATTCAAGCCCAGCTCTGCCCCTCCTAGTGGGTGAACTTGGCAGGTGCCCAGCCTCTCTGAACCTCACTTTCCTTCTTTATAAAACAAAGGTGATATAGCAGCACCCACCTCCCTGGGTGGCTTCCTTGGGGACAAGGCTGGAGGTGAAAGTCATCCCTGGTCTCAGATGGCAAGCTTGCCCGCCTTCCTGGAACCCGGGTCTTGTTCCTGGAGACCAGCTGGGCCTGAGAAGGGCCGTGGGGCTGGCCAGGGTTTGAGGGGCAGACCAGATTCCCAGGGTCACAGGGACCACAAAAAAAGCTTCCCTCGGGCAGGAATGAAGAGGGACAGAGGGACCAAATGGCCACTGGTGTCCAGGGTGGAAGGGAAGCCCCTGGCCAACAAGCTGACTCCAGCTGGGGCAGACCTCACCTGGCCCTGCCGTCCCTCTCCTCTCCAGTGCCTCCCGGGCACGGGCACGGCTGTCAGGCCTTTGAAGCCCAGAGCAGCTTATAAACGTTCTGGGTGGAGATGAAACGTGGTAAGACTTGAAGCCCAGGCCGAAACCTTGGCTAATCTCCAGGGTTTTACAAGCAGCAAGTCTGGAAATAGGCACTGGGCGCATGAGGGCTCAGGCTGCCAGGCGGGGGACCTGAGATCTGGGGGTGAGGGGTCTGGACAGAAGGAGCTTAGCTGCAGATAGCCCCCAGCAGCCTCCCCTTCAGCCTGCCACTGGAGTCCCTCCCCCAGCTTGTCTTCCCTGGGCTTCTGGCCCCAAGCTCCGTTACCGGAGCCCGATCACCCAGGGTCAGGATAAGGGATGGGTGGTCCTGGGGTCCCTGCATCCCGCAGACCACAGACACACACTTGGAAACAAGGGAGGGGCGCTGGCCGCCGTCTTTCGGCTGTGCGCCCTGCAGAGGAAGTAAGCAGGGGGCCATGCGATTGGACATGCATTCATTGGATGCCACGGTGTGTGACCTCCCCTGGGCTCCGCATTCTGGGAGGGGAATGAAATGAGGAGATGTGGGTGCTGGCCGTGAGGTGCTCTGTGACCGAGGGCGGATGAGACGTGCAGGGAGGGGATGGCAGGGACCCCTCTGTTCAGGCCCACGGAGGCCCACGGAGGCCCCTGGGGGGGCGGCGGCAGAGGAGAGCCACTGGCCAGAGTCACCAGAAAAGGCCTCTAGAAGGATTCTGGCTCTGGGGAGGGGGATGAGGAAGATGAAGAAAGGAACAGCGAACTCCAGGCGGGAGCAACGCAAGTGATGTTTCTAGAATGCAGCATGGTTTGCTCAGAGAGCTGGGTGCAGGGGTGTGACAATAAAACATCATAATTCTGATAATGCTGCTGTCAATTTACAGAGCTGGAGAGTCTGGGTCGGCCGGGTACAGAGCATGCAGGGCCTGTGGGAACCACTCAGCGGGTTACCTGTCTGATTTGTTGTTGCTAGGGTGCCATTGAGTCGGTTCCAATTCACAGCGACCGTATGTACAACTGTGTAGATCATAACAAATTATGGATAACATTGCAAGGAATGAAAATTCCAGAACGCTTAATTGTGCTCATGAGGAACCTGTACTTAGTTCAAGAGGCAGTCGTTCAGACAGAAGAAGGGGATACTGCATGGTTTAAAGTCAGGAAGGGTGTATGTCAGGGCTGCCTTCTTTTACCATACTTACTCAATCTGTATGCCAAGCAAAGAATCCGAGAAGCCGGACTGTACGAAGAAGAACACGGCATCAGGATTGGTGGAAGACTCATTAACAGCCTGCGATATGCAGATGACACAACCTCGCTTGCTGAAAGTGAAGAGGACTTGAAGTACTTACTGATGAAGATCAGACCACAGCCTTCAGTATGGATTACACCTCAACATAGAGAAAACAAAAATCCTCACAATGGGACCAACAAGCAACATCGTGATAAACGGAGAAAAGACTGAAGTTGTCAAGGATTTCATTTTACTTGGATCCACAATCAACATCCATGGGAAGCAGCAGTCAAGAAATCAAATGACACATTGCACTAGGAAAATCTGTGGCAAAAGACCTCTTCAAAGTGTTAAAAAGCAAAGATGTCACCTTGAAGTCTAAGGTGCACCTGACCCAAGCCATGGTGTTTTCAATCCCTCATATGCATGCGAAAAGCTGAACAGTGAATAAGGAAGATCGAAGAATTGATGCCTTTGAATTGTGGTGCTGGCGAAGAATACTGAATACACCATGGACTGCCAGAAGAATGAACAAATCTTTCTTGGAAGAAGTACAACCAGAATGCTCCTTAGAAGCAAGGATGGCGAGACTATGTCTCACATACTTTGGACATGTTATCAGGAGGGATCAGTCCCTAGAGAAGGACATCATGCTTGGTAAAGTAGAGGGTCAGCGAAAAAAAGGAAGACCCTCAATGAGATGGATGGACACAGTGACTGCAACAATGGGCTCAAGCGTGGCAATCATTGTGATGGTGGCTCAGGACGGGGCAGTGTTTCGTTTTGTTGTACACAGGGTCGCTGTGAGTCACAACGGACTGGACAGCATCTGACAACAACAGCATGTATAACCGAAGAAACAGTGCCGGGTCCTGCGCCACGCTCACAGTCATTGCCATGCGTGAGCCCATTGTTAAGGTCGCTGTGTCAGTCCATCTCGTCGATGGTCTTCCTCTTTTTCGCTGACCCTCTACCAGGCACGATGCCTTCTCCAGGGACTGCTCCCTCCCGGTTACTATTTTGCAAAAATCACTCTAGCTGGGGGAGGCCGGCCACGAGGATGTCGCAATTGTGGGAAGAGAAGTGGGCAGGGGAGAGATGCAGGGAGGTAAGCCCTGGGACCTAGTTCCCGGGGCGGGCCAGGTGGCCGCAGGGGGAGAGGGGCAGGGCATCAGTAAAGGGGCCCCGCCCACTGCCCTGGAGAGTGGTTGGAGCTTGGCTGGGAGCGTCCTGCCTCCACCTGCCTCCCGCCATTCCCAGGTCGGCCCCGGGCCTGGCCCCGCTCCGACTGACTCAGGAAGGGGCACTCTGGAGCTCGACTGCTCCCCTGCACCCATCATTCACCCGAAGCTCAGCAAGGGTGGGTCCCCTCAACGGTCCCCACACCTTCGGGCGCAGGGAAGCCTCGGCCCGTGTCCCCGTGGGGCCTGAATGTTGAGGAAGCGTGGCCGAGAGGACTGGGGTCACCCGCGCTGACCACTCTGTGTCCCTGGGCTGTGACCGCGGGGACCCGGGGTTCTCAGGAGAGCGGCTACTGCGCCCCCGGCGGCGCCTCGGAAAACTGCAGCACCACCTTCGCTCCACAGGCGCCTGCGCGGTGAGACACACTCTGTCCCCGGGGCACCCGCAGCGCGGAGCGAGCGTGTCTCATGCATGCCGGCCCGGCGCACGGTCCCCGTGTCCGCTCCCCGGGGATATGCCCTTGAGGATTAAGGGCTCGGGTGGGGTGGTCGCGCTGGGCCTCCTACCAGGGCTCCGTATGGGAGCAGGGGGCACAGCGGTGGCCTCGGCCTGGCTTGGCGGTACCCTTTGCCGCCCCTCGAGACGCTGGACGCCCCGGCCACGCATGGTCAGGACCTGCCCCCGGGCCGCACCCGCAACACGGTCACGGCTCCCGCTCATGTCACTCACAACCAGGAGAAGGGAAAGCCGCGAGTGAAAATCCAAAGCATCTTAAATTCACTCATCCATTCTGCAAACGTTTATGAGCGCTGCCCTGGGCCTGGGGCTCCTGCTGGGATCGAGGGCGTCCCAGACACAGATGTCTTCTTTCTCCACCCACCATCGCCCGGGTGCCCGTCCCGCCTGCCCCTGACCCCGACCCTCCGCTCGCCACGCTGCGCCCGGAGGCTCCACCTGGCAAGAAGGGGACACAGGCAGGGGAGAGGAGGGGGCTGGCCCTCAAAGAGTCTTTTGTTTCTCAAGGAGGAACTGGGGCCGCCATCCGGAGGTTGTGGTGTAACCCAGCAGGACGGGGGCGCGGGCTGATTTACGATTCCCACCTGAAACACTCTAGGAGCTGGGAGCACCATCCCCACCTCCAGCAGCCCCTGCAGACAGACCCTGCGCACGGCCTTCCATCCACGCCAGGAGGCTTCCTGTCGGGCTTACCCTGCTCTCCCACCCCAGGGGAGACACCGCGTGCCAGCCCCACTGGATCTTCCTGGCCCACCCCCATCCTGTTAACGTGGATGTGCCAATGAGTGAGGGGTGTCTGGAGTGCAGGGACCCAGGCACTGCCCACCGTTGCTCTCCCATCCCAAGCACCCTCCTAGCTGACTGCCTGGGCTCCACCCTGCTACAGGTCCATGCCCGGGGAAGGGAGCCTGAACACCTGGCCCAGTCTGCAGGAGGAGGCGCCTGCTGTTCAGCCCCGGGATCCACTCGGGCGACTGCTGGCTCCGGATGCGGAGTTGGGGGTGCTGTGAGAGGGGGGAAGTGCTTGCCCTCGGGCTGACCGCTCAGCAAGCTGGTCCCTGCCCCTAGCACGAGCCACCTGCAATGTGGCTGCCCCCAAGTTGTTGCTGTTAGGTGTGGTCGGGCTGGTTCTGACTCACAGCGCCCCCATGTGTTACAGAGCAGAACTGCCCCACAGGGTTTTCTGGGCTGTGATCTTTACCGAACCAGATCGCCAGGTCTTTCTCCCTCAGGGCCGCTGGGTGGGTTCGAACTGCTGTGGGTAGGCTCAGAGGTGGCCGAGAACTTCCCAGAGGTGGTATTTCTCATTTGGGGTGAAGAAAAGCAGAAAAGACAGGTGTAGGTAGAAGTGCCCCACGCAGCCCTGACAGGCCTTCCATCACCATCCAACACCTCTGAGCTGGGCCCTGCATAGAGGCCCCTGATGGCACAGAGAAACTCCTCCCCATCCTCCCGCTTGTGTGGCCTCAGGCAAGTCAGCCTGCTTCTCTGGGCCACCCTTTCCTGCTGCATGGGTACCTGCCCCGTTTGGGTCCCTGTCGAAACTCATCGTGTGGGTGCCTGTGAAGATGTCCCCTGCGCCCGCAGACACTCATGCTCACTCCTTGCTCACGTGCAGGGCCACCTCTGGGCAAGGCCGGGCTGGGACGGAGCCTGAGGACCCGTCGGACCCGCCATGACTAGGGCAGCCGGAGCCAGGCTCCACTTGAGCGGTGGCCAGCTTGGGATGCAGAGGGATCCACGCAGGAGGAAGACAGGGAACAGGCAGGTGCTGGAATCGGGATGAGGGGCTGCGGAGCCCCTGGGAGATTTTAAGGCAGCAGCAGGCCCTGCTGGCCCCTAGCAGGGCAGAGATGGAGACATCTTCCCAACAAGGAGGGAGGCCCAGCATATACAGGAGGCTCCACCGAACCGGGCTCCTCAGCCGGGCCGCCTCAGTGCTTCCTGCCAAGGCTGACCCCTCCCAACCCCCAGCCAGCCCCACACCTGGAGCGACCTGCTGACATTTTAGAACACCAGCCACCTGTCTGTCTCCCCAGGGGAGACACGAGCCCCTCCAGGACAGGACCCTGCCTGTCCTGCTCACGGCTGTGTCCCCAGCACTGAGCACAGGACCTGGCATGGACAAGATGCTCGATAAATACTTGAGGAACAAATGAAATAACTGTGCCTGGTGTGCGCATCCTGACACCTGTGACATTAATAAAGACACTGGGCCTGGGTGTCCTTGGTTTATTGATTTCCACCTGCTTGCTCCAGAAAGGATTCAGAAGGTAGGGGGTCTCCAGCATCTCCCACCGCCTGGACGGCAAGAGCTCTGGAGTGCACACATTAAGGCACAGGCGCCGCATCCTGGGGAGAGACTTTGCAGGCGTGGACTGTAGGATGGGATCTCCACAGCCTGCCTGGGGCTGGTAGGAGGTCATGGAGTGACAGCTGCCTTCCCAAGCCAGGTGAGGTAGCTGTGTCCCCACAGACTGTGACCTGAGGTTCAGGGGTTCACCTCTCATAGACAAGTCGGGGCTGTGTATCAGCCTGCTCCTCCAGTGGGTCACGAACCATCAGCGCCCTGGTGGGCCTGGAAGCATTTAAGCAGAGCGAATCATGCAGTGGCCAGGCTGGAACAGCTGGCTGGGACAGCCTCTGCTTGCACTGTGTCTCTCGCACAGCTTGGGGAGTGGGAATGGGCCTTGGTGAATGTTGGAGCCCCTCTGGGAATTGTGCCCCGCAGGAGTGAACCCAGACAGGCAGGGAGAGGCAGCCAGGCTGAGGAGAGAAGCTGGGGGTGCAGTGTTCAAGATATGCTAAGCCCAGAGTCTCAGCCTCAAGATTCGCAGGCCAAGACGAGCCACCCGCTTGGCCCCTCCGCCCCATCCCGGTGCAGAGGGGTGCGAGCCATCGGGAAACACCTGCTTTGCTTCTGCTGTCCCAGCCCCCGCCCCGCCCCGTCCCGCCCTCTCCCCGAATCTCAGTGGGCTCCAATTCCAACGAGAGGTGGCTACAGTGTGGCCGAGGTGTGTGGCCACCTGGGGGGTGTGGGCTGCCCGCTTACTTCCCCCAGGAGGCAGAAGCTTCTTCGCCTGAAAGAAAGGAGAGAGGAGAGAGAAACAACCTCAGACACCTTTCCCTGGGCTGGCGTGCCCCACGGCCCCTGGGCTGGGAGCTGGAGGGACCAGACACCCAACGTGGAGAGGTCTGTGTGCCCCACTGTGTCCCCTGAGGCCTGTAGGAGAACCAGAGTCTCTTCTTCCTCCACACGGACCAATGACAATAACAACAAAGGGCTGAAAGTTCGCCCCGCTTAACCCCACGGTGAGGGCAGCAGGGAGGTGCTGTGAACAGCCCCATTTCACAGAGAAGGAAACTGGGCTGGGATCAGAGGTCCCCAGGGTGGCGGGCCTGCAGGTGGACGGTGGGGATTTGGGCGGGTTTATGTGATGGGAAAGGAGCCCTGGTGGGGCAGTGGCTAAGGGCCAGGCTGCTAACCAAAACGTCCGTGGTTTGAAGCCACCGGCTGCTCCGTAGGAGAAAGATGTGGCAGTCTGGTTTCCATAAAGATGACAAATGACAGCCTTAGAAACCCTACGGGGCAGTTCTACTCTGTCCTATAGGGTCGACGGCAGTGGGTTCGGTTTTTTTATGCAATGGGAGGCCCGCACCAGAGACCAGGATGTCTCAGCTGAGCTCAGAGAGACACGGAAATGAAACACAGCTCCCTAGACACCCACACGGCCCAGTGAGAGCACTGCCAACCAGGGCACTGAGTGTCTACGATGCACCAGGCCTGCGCCTGGCTTTGCTTGCCTTTGTCCTCGATAGCCCTGTGATGCAGGCACTGCTCCCATGACACTCGGTGTGGGGGAGGCGGGCACAGAGAGGGTGAGGAGCAAGTCCAAGGCCACCGCCAGCCCCTTGGCCTCCACCCACCCAACCACAGGGAAAGGCTAGATCTCCAGAAAGGTCAACCCAAGAGACAGCAGCAGAGCAGGGATGAGGGGGTTGATGTCGTGCCTCCTCTGCCCCCGGATGCCCCTTTTGGGACACGTGTGATCAACCGGGCAAAGGAGGCAGGACATCATCCCCTCCATCCCTGCTCTGCTGCTGCCTCTCGGGGTGACCCTGGGCAGTGTGATGTGGTCATTGTACATGGACGGAGAACAAACAGTGTGCTCCCTGACCCTGGACCCCCAAAACGTTCAGCAAGTCTGCCCCCGATGCAGGAAGGCACACCCACCTTTAGGGATGAACTTCAGCGAGCTGCTAAATATTCAGAAGCGGGACTGTCCCGGCTTGGGTCCATCGTTGAGGAACTCGTGACCCAACCCATTGCCACACTTGCCGCAGGACACCTGGGAAGACCACGCAACGGCCACATGAGCTCCCGGCCCACAAAGCACAGCTGCAGTGATGGCCTGTGGGGGCCACCAGCAGACAGCGCTCCTCTCTGCACATCCACCCCCAAGCGAGCTGCTGACGGGGGACGTTGACCTTCGTCCTAGTGCCGGCACCAGGAACGATATCCTGCTTCCTGTGCTCACACCACAGCACCGGACTCCCCCAGTAGTCCAGGGGGGCAGCTACCCTGGCTGGGGCCAGAGGCCTCGAATAGACAGACTCTCAGCCCCTAGAGTCGGGGAGCACAGAAGAGCCCCCTGTTGTGGTGCCCACCTTTAAGACTCCAAGCCCACTGTGTTCTGGACACTTGGCTACACTGTCGGCGTGGATGGGCTCAGTGAACGCTGGCCATGGGGACGAATGCGCGTACTTTGAGCGGCTGGAGAACAGCTCATAGCCGCACTTAGCACACACGTAGATGCCTGGGGGCAGGAGGAGGCAAAACAAGAGGCGTTGGGCTCCAGCTGTTCTGGGGGTGGGCTCCCAGCCCAAGGGAAGACAGCACTGCCCTCATGCCAAGGGTGCGCACAGACCCTCTCCACACCACCAGCCACAGGCCACACTGCTGGCTCTGCAGGGAGACACACCGCTGAGCTAGCGTTGACTGCTTCCTGCTATGTGCTAGCCACGCTTATCTCATGGACTCTCCCACTAGCCTGGTGCCTCTAGCATTTCCATTTTACAGATGAGGAAGCTGAGGCTGGACCCTGTACGACCAGGAAAAAAGCCAGGCAGGTGGAAGAGAACACAGCACCCCCACCCAGAAGCAGGCCCCACATGGTGACACTCTCACCCGTCAGCACCTCCTGCTGGACACGCCCTTCGCAAGTGACTGCTGAAGCCCTGAGCTGGCCACCCACCCACTGGCCTGCTCTCCAGGCAGGAGGAGAATGGTCCCGGGACAGACAGGGAGCCCAGGAAGATGGAAAGGAAGGGCCGGGGAGAAGGACCGATTTCAACCCATCCCCAGAAGCTCACTTTGGCGGCTGGCGGGGGGGGGGGGGGGGAGAGTTGCAAAACTAACTTGCAAAATTGTTGAAAGCTCAAAAACAGGAAACGGTTTGGAGCCCTCCTCCAGAGGCTCTGAAGCACCTTCCTATCTCCCCACCCCCACCCGGCCCGGGTATCTGTGAATTACCACGCCTTTGCCAGAAACTTGAGAAGGAAGCAAAGACAAAGCCCAACAGCTACCTGGGAGTGGCGTTTCTGGTTGCCTGAGCAGCCTGGGGACAACGAAGGCCCCACAGCCAGAGAGTCTCAGGGCAGGGCTTTGCCCAGGTGGTCTTGTCACAGCTGGCACCACAGCTGCCCAGCCGTGCTGCCAGCCACTTGCCTCCCTGGAGAGATCCAGCCCCAGGAAAACTGACTCCCTGGTCTTGCCTGTGTCCATATTTTTACTAAATTAGTCCATTATCAGGCAGGCCCAGCCCAGTAAGTCACCAGAGGCTCCCACAGCCTGGGACCAAGGCTGAGGGCCGGCCTTTCACAGAACATCCACCCTCCAGGCTATCTAGCCAAACTTCAAACTTCGATGGCCAAGAGGGCGGGGACTGGACCAGGAACGAAGCCAAGGTTACCCACCCAGGAGGCTCTGAGCCGTGGGGGACGCGGCATTCTGAACAGGACATTCTGTGCCTGCGGACTTTCAAACCCGCAGGGTCCGGTATGAGGAACAGGGAGGACCAGAATAACATCTGGGGCAGGCCCCGTGGGGCGACCCCTGGACAAGCCCTTCCACCGCGCCTGTGCACCCCACCCTTCCGAAGTCCCGACCCCCTCCCCATCTGCCCTTTCCCTATAGGACCCCCTGCCGGACACAGTCCTCCCGTGTCATCGTCTGGACTCAAGGACAGCGACCCCAGCCCTATAATGTCCCCTCCCCCTTCCGAGTCCCCCAGGCCCCCTTCCTCCACTATCCCCTCACCAACGTACGCTCCTCCACAGCGGCCTCGCTAGCCCTCATCCCAGGAGCTCCGGGGCTCCATCACCACCCGAGGACAGCGACGCCTCCTTCCTTCGCCGCCCCCGCCCCGCTGCCCTCCCAGGAGGGGGCTGCATGCAGTACCCGGCTCAAAGTGGTTCTGGAAAATCTCGCCCCCGAAGAAGCTGCAGAAAGACATCGCGCTGCCGAACCCGCTCCGCGCTCTCCGCCTCCGACTGCCCAGAAGCCACCGACCCTATGACCGCCGGGCCCCGCCCCGCCGCCCGCCCCTCCTCTCAGGACCAGTCACACTCGGGATCACGGACCCCGTGGCATCAAGGGGACCAATCACATCCAGGAACGCCAGGCTTTCCCCCCCCGAGACCCTCCTCCTGAGGTCCCGCCCCTTCCGAGGACCAATCCCTCCCAGGGGTAGGGTTTCGGCTTCCATCTCAGAAGGCCCCGCCCCCTCCCGAGGACCTGTTCCATCCCGTCTTCCCGCTTGCACCGCCCATCAGTGACGGCCCCTCCTGACGGCCCCTCCTAACGACCACTCCTAGGCCGTTTCCCCGAGACCCCGCCCCCTGGGGGACAGCCTCCAATCCCTCCGCGGAGCTCCGCCCGGAGGACCCGCCCCGTCCTGCCCGCAGGCCCCGCCCTCCCCGAACGCCAGGGCGCAGCTTAGGACCGCGGAGCGCACCTGGGGCCTGGGCTTGGGTTAGTGGTCACGGCCGCACCCTCAGAGCCGCGTCCCTTCGTCCTGTCCCCGAGCTTGAGCCCCGGGTCACGGTCTAGTGCGGCCTTTCCGGGCCCCCCATTCCTGAGACACCACGGGAAGAGCAGCTCCAGGCCTTTATTATTAGACCAGAAGGGGCAGGGGCGGACGCGCCTGGCCTCCTTTAGGTTCATTCCACGCTGCCTACAAGTCTCCCGAGGCCTCCAGCTTTTCTTCCTCGAGATGCTTCTTCTGGGGGCCCTAGGGTGGGGGGCAGGAGGAGCGTTTGTCACAGGGGTCTGGCTGAGGATACAGCTCCTGGTCAGCCACCAGGCTCACCCACGGTGAGCACTGCCGTCCACTCCGACGGCCCCTACCATCTCTTCCAACAAGAGTCACCGCCCAGGGCTGGACCCCGAAAGCTCCCCCTCCTGTGAATGAGTGCAGGGGGCGTCCTGCCACCCCCATCTGCTCCAGCTTTCTACCCTGGGGTACGGGGGGTTGGGGACAACAGCAGGCAACCGGGGACCAGGTTGGCTCACCATGAAGGCCCTCTTCTCTTGGGCAGTCTGGAAGCGGCCGTGGCCGAACTTGGAGGTGGTGTCGATGAACTTGAGCTCGATGTTCTCCAGGGCCTGATGGCTGTGGTGTACCAGGAGGGACTGGGGACATGGGACAGGGGAGCATGGAGGCCAGTGTCCCCCACCTGTCACCCCTAGTCCACATCTTTGCTCCCACAGTTCCCCCTCCCCAGAAGTTTCACCCAGCTCCTGCCAGAACCCCTCTCTTTCTGCCCCCTCCCCCCCAGCTGTGAGTCCCTCCTCCTGCTGGCCTGCCCTGACACTCACTCCCCAGCCCACCTTCCTCAGCGTGATGACCCTCTTCCTGGTGCCCGCGATGCAGCCCTTGAGCATGACGAAGTCGTTGTTGACCTCTCCATAGTGGGGGAAGCCGCCCTGCGGGGGAGGCTGAGTCAGGGGCCAGGCCTGGAAAAGGGGCTGCCGATTTAGGGGGCGCTGGGAGAACAACCCACACCATTGTGATTGGAGGGGCCCTGTGCCCGGCCCCCCGGGGGGGTGACACCTCCAGGGGCTTGTTTGATCACCGCCTCTCGATGTCAGAAGGTGAACGGGCACGGTGAGCGGCAGGGGTCCCGTCCACCCAGGTGGGTGCCTGCTGCCGAATGCTGGGGACAGTGGAGGAGAGGTCCACCAGGCCCCGCTCCCAAGCTCCTGGGGCAGGGTAGCAGCCAGCCAGGCACAGGGGCTCCGGGCTGGCCCCTGCCCACGCCAGGCCCCCTCTCCGGCCTGGCCGCCCCTCACCAGCGGTGTGACGGACTTGGCAGTCATGTCATAGCTGGTGGATGCGTTGTTCCTGACCAGCTTCCCCTCCTCCATGTGCAGCCCCCGGCCGATGCGGTAGATCTGTAGGGAGAAGGGGCACACTGGGGCAGTAGGGGGCCTCTGGGGCCAGCGGCATGTCCACACCTATCGGCCATGTGTGCTCCCGTTCAGGGCTGGTGGGGGCATCTCCGAGCCTTTGTAGGGGCAGGCAGTGTCTCGGTGGTGCGCCCCACCTACTGGGGCTGGGAGTATGGCGTGAGCTGCGGACGCACCTTCTTGTTGAGCTCCGTGCGGTGGTGGTAGCCCTTCTGGCCAGCCCGGGCGATGGAGCAGCCCACGCGGGCAGGGTGCCAGGCACCAATGCAGGCCACCTTGCGCAGCCCCTTGTGGGTCTTCCGCGGCAGCTTCTTGGTATGCCAGCGGCTTGTGACCCCTGCGGCAGGAGGGTCCAGCAGCTGAGCAGCCAGCCTGGCCCCCACCCCCCAGGCAGCCTTCCCTGCAGCCACCACTCCCACCCCTGTGCTACCTTTGACGCCACGGCCCTTGGTAACAGCGATGACATCAATGACCTCATTCTGGCCGAACACGCTGTGCACCGACACCTGCTTCTCCAGCCGGGCCTGCGCCCAGGCCACCTTCTCGGCCACTGTGCCGCCATTCAGCTGGACCTCCATGATGTGGGCCTTCTTCTGCCGGAAGGGCAGCAGCTTCATCTGTAAGTCAGGGCATGGCCACACCCCTGATCTGCGGACACGGCGTGGCCAGCTGGGTCCCAGCAGATCACACCCCCATCTGCAGACACAGTGTGGTCGGCTGGGTCCCAGGGGTCACACCCCTGATCTACAGACACAGTGTGGCAGGCTGGGTCCCAGCAGGTCACATCCACATCTGCAGGAGCACTGTGGCCAGCAGGTCACAGCCTGTGTGCAGACAGGGCACAGCAGGCTTTCTCGCCTGCGCTCATCCCGCTCTGTGCCCTGTGCTGTGTTAGGCACTGGGAGCACAGCACAGAATGATGCGGATAGGTCGCAGCTCTCCTAGAGCCACCATCGAGTCAAGGGACAGTCAGAAACCAAGTAAACTCTCCGAGAGGGCTAAGTGCTCTACTGGGACATGGCAGGGGGAGGCATTATTTCAGAGAGGGTGGTCAGGGAGGGCCTCTCTGAGGAGGTGACAGCAATAACAAGAAAGAGCCACTGGGCTGAGATCTGAGAGATTTTTGGGCCGAGAGAATAGCGTGTGCAAAGGCCCTGTGGCAGGGGAGATCCTGGGAGTTGGTGGAACAGAAAGGAGACCATGTGGCTAGGAGTGTGGTATAGGATAGGGTTAGAGGTGGCCAGGGGCTGGGTCAGGCTGTTCTTGTAAGCCACAGGGAGAAGTTAAGGCTTTTATTCCAAGTGCAGGGTGTGAGGTGATTTGATTCATTTTTTCAAATGTCTCTGGCATGGGCTGGGGGGACACACAGGTGGAAGCGGGAGACAAGTCAGGTCACAGCCTAGTGCTCAACAAATATTGGTGGTACGCCTTCTGCATAGCAGGCTCTTGGTGCGTGCTAGGGCACTGCCCCCATGGACTCTGCCCCCATGGAGTGCAAGTCTAGCGAGGGAGATGGACATTAACCCAGGACATAGTTAACCAGGAACTGCAAAGATGCAAGGAACAGGGTGGGGTGGAGCTCAGGGATGTGGGAGGCTCTAGTGAGGGGGAGCCTAGGGAAGACTTCCCTCAAGAGAAGGTGCCCAAGGAATGTTCCAGAAGAAGCTAGGAGGGTGTTGGTTACCTGTCCCCCCTGGACCTCTGGTACAAACATTGACTCACACACACACTCGTGCCACCGGGAAGCGGCCAGTCCTGCACACTGGACTTTTGGCAGAAGACCCAGGCCCTCAGGGCATGGCAGGGCTGACTACTGGGCAGTGGCCAGTGGGCGATGGTCCCTCAGAGTGCACTCATGCCCAGCGTCCTTGGGCTGCAGCAGCCAATGTGGCCAGCCAGCAAACCGTCTGGGCCCATGCCCGAGGCATGGGATATTTTTAGGCTGACATTTTCCAGGGCTCCTGGAAGCTGGGGTGGAGGATGGACCGGCTGACTGGGTGTGGATGGGGCTGGGGCTGACCTGGGTGTGGACAATGACACGAATGACCTTGCAGTACTTCTTCATGGCGGCAAAGTCTTTCTGGAGCTGCTTTTTGCCGTCAGCATCACGCCACCTCTTGCAGGCCTTGGTGAAGGCTTTCTTCTTGCTCTTATGCCTGAGCCGTGCATGGGAGGGCGCTCAGAGGCACTGGCCGGGATGGCTCCCAGGTCTGCCCTGCCCTGCCCCCTAACCTACCAGGGAGGGGTCTTAGAACAAGAAATGTCCCCTCCCTTCTTTCCCACTGCTGGGACTGCCCCTGGGGCCCCCAGGATGGTTCCCTGTCCACCTTTCAGCATAGACTCTCCCTCCCTCGGTTTCCCCCTCTGTAAGGTGGGCACCCACCCCACCTCCCAGGGCCTGAAACTGAGCGGTGGCTGGACAGGAGTTCAGGAAGGGTGGTCCGGGCACCTAGAGGCCAGCCCCACCTGCCCACATTGCCATGGCTGCTGACCCCACTTCTAAAGTGTGGCATGGTACTGTGGCCTGGCACCACACCATGGGCTCAGGAGGACTCTGGAAGGCAGGAATGATTATTCCCATTGCACAGGTGAAGAAACTGAGGCTCATAGAAGTTGAAGCTCTGGACAAGGGGCAAGTGGATGACAGTAGAGACAGCAAGAACAAGGCCAGTGGGTATTTACTAAGCACTTCCTCTGTAAAGGGCCTTACACACAACACCAGCTAACCCTCACAGCAGCCCCATGACCCCGTTTTATGGTGGGGGGGCCGCAGTGCGAGGCTCCAAGAAGTCAGCTGGCTTGTCCATGGTGACGTGACACAACCTGGTCTGACTCCAGAGCCCAAGCTTGTCACATCCCAGAAGGGGCAGGGTCTGAACTGTGCCCAGAGAGAGATGGGCTGTGCCTCTGCCTCCAGGAGGAGAAGGAAAAGGCATTTGCAAGGATCCCCAGGTGGGCGGGCCTCAGTGACAGGGCAGATTTGAGGCCTGAGAATGCCTCTCCCTCCCCTTCTGATGACAGAGCTCCTCAGTTGCCTGTTTCCCTTTTCACCCTGGCTGCTAGGAAGCTCAGAGCCAGCTCTGACGTTCCCTCAAATTAGCCCTTTAGTTAACCCTGAGGATTAGAATATGTACTTCCTCTATTTCTTCCCATCCTGATTTCCTTACCAGTGTTCTAGTACCCCTGTCTTATTAAAGACAATGTGCACACACATGCCCACACTCTCCTGCCTTCCACACACTGTTGACACTTCTCCCTCCCCCCCACCCCGCCCCCTGCCAATCGCTCCAGCACAGGGCTGAAGTCTCAGGAAAAGGGGACGGAAGGGCCCGCCCAGCCACTTGGCCCCCAAGCCCTCACCCCGCCCCCACAGGCCCCTCCTCACCCCGCCCCCATAGGGCCCCTCCTCACCCCGCCCCCACAGGCCCCTCCTCACCCCGCCCCCACAGGGCTCTCACCAGTCCCTGTAGAAGCGGCGCCTGCACTCGTCGCTGAGGTGCTCCGCGAAGATGGTCTTGAAGCTCCGCAGGCCGCGAGGGGTGGCCACGTAACCCACCACGCCCACCACCACTAGTGGCGGGGTCTCCACAATTGTCACTGCCTCCACCTCCTCCCGCTTGGAAATTTCTGGAAGAGACCCAGGGACAGGCATGAAGGGGAACCTCCCGAGACGGAGATGGAGCGGAGGAGCCGGCCACAGGACCCCCCACCCCTGGGAGTTCCGTGCTGACCTCCAGCACTCACCGTGCCGGCTCCCTGCCCCTTCTCTCTCCCTGTTCTGCCAGGGGTCCCCAGGTAGGGCCAGGCTGGCTCTGACTTGGAGATCTCAGGCAAGGCCTGGCCTACTCCAGCCTCAGTTTCCCCACCAAACCACAGGGGATGGGCTCAGAGAGCACAGAGCCAAGAGCCCAGGGCAGTGTCCCCAGGGGGTGGGGGCTGGCCTCCTTTGGTGGGTACAAACAAGCAGCTTTTAATAGCTGTAAATGTATCTTGGTGAGTTCTAGAAAAAGCTATGAGTAAAAACGCATGATTGATGGATATTCTTTCTTAGGCTGACATGAAACAAAACAAGTATATGATTTAAAAATATATTAGGAGAGATGAGGGACAGATTAGTGGTTGCCAGGAAGTTAGGGGGCAGCAGGAAGGTGGCCGTGGCAACACGAGGGACCCTCGGGATGGAATGTTGTGAACCATGACTGAGGCGGTGGGCACACAGATCTACACACGGGACTAAATGCACACCCCACAAGCGAATGCAGGAGGACTGGACAATTTGAATAAGATGCTGGGTGGTACCCACGTCAGTACCCTGGTGTGGTCTCAGACCATGGTTTTGCAAGATGCTCCCACTGGGGGAACTGGGTGAAGGGCACATGGACTTCTTTGTATTATTGCTTACATCCGATGTGAGTCTACAATGATCTCAACACGAAAAGATCGTGGGGGGTGTGTGTGTACATATATGTATATATATATTAAAACGTGTAATGTATTAAAGTATATTATTATATCACATATTATGTTATCTATTACATATTATATGTTGTATATTTTATATTAAAATATATTGTTATATCATAAAAAAACCTGTTCCGGCGAGTTGATTCCGACTCATGGCAATCCTATATGACAGAGTAGAACTGCCTCGTAGTGTTTCCAAGGAGCAGTTGGTGGACTCAAACTGCCGAACTTTTGGTTAGCAGCCAAGCTCCGTAACCACTGCTCCACCAGGGCTCTTTTCTATCATATATGTTATGTGTTATATGTTCAAATATATTATTATATGATACATTATGTGTTATATATTACATATTATGTGTTATATATTTATATATTAAAATATATTGTTAAATTATATATGTTATATATTACATGTGTTACATATATTAAAATATAATATTGTATCATATGTTATATACATGTTAAAATATATGTTATATCTTGCATGTTACGTGTTATATGGATTTATATACTAAAATATACATGTGTGTTATGTATTAATATGGTATATATATCTATATGTTAAAATATACATTGTATGTGTTGTATATTACATAATATATATTACATATTTCTATATTAAAATACATTATATCTATACATAGTACATACATTATACATATATACATTATTAAATACATTATATATGTTATGTATATTTCTATGTTAAAATATTATATCATACGTTATATACTAAATATTATGTGTTATGTGTATTTATAACGCACCTGCGTTTGAACCCCAGCTCCTCCACTTACTATCTTGGTGACTGGGCAATTTTCTTAACTGCTCTCTGCGGCAATTTCCTCGCTTGTAAAATGAGGGCAATGACAGAGCCCCCTGAAGGGCTGCCCCTGGTCAGTGCTTATGAAGGCAAAGGTCAGAGTCATTCCTGCACTTGCCAGATGGTCGTTCTCACGAGAGGGCAGGGCCTGGCCCTATCTGGACCTCAGCTTCCCCTCCTGGACTCTCAGAGCCGAGTTCTGTCTCCTAGCTTCTGGGACGTTCCCCAGATGGTCGGGCCCGGCAGGGTGCCCCCCTCCCCCTGCCCCCAGTGACTCACTGAGGCCTGGTCGGTGCACCTCACGCAGAGTGTGTGTCATGCCCGCCTTGTAGCCCAGGAAAGCCGTGAGGTGGACGGGCTGGCTGGGGTCGTCCCGTGGCCATGTCTTCACCTTGCCCCGGTGCCGGCGGCTCCTCTTGTGGGGCAGGAAGCCTAGGTGCCCATGCCGAGGGGCAGAGAACTTCCGGTGGGACTGGGGGGAAGAAGGGGAGGGAGATCAGCGTGGGGATATCCCTGAGGATGGTCCCAGAGCCCAGACCTGGAGGAGTGGGCTAGAGACCCCGGACTGAGACCCAAGACAGTCCTCACTGCCTCTGTCATCCGTCTACAGGACAGAAGGAGGATACTTGTTGTGTCTTTGGAATGGCACCCGCACCCAGGGCACAGCCCTCCTCGCCCATAGGCTTCGTGCTCACGGGCTGGGCCAGCAGGGCCCCGGAGGGGGTAGATCCATGTGGGCAGGTGGCTGCTGTCATCTGTTCATCTCCCTGCCCATTCTAGGCCCAGCCACCCCAGCACTGGCCTTCTTGCTGCCCCTTCCAATCACCCACCCCTCACAGACCCCAGGACTGTCCCTGCTGGGGGATACTTCTGCCCCAGCCTACCCCACCCTGCTACCGTCGCCCTGGCCCCACTGACCATGGTGGCTGTCTCCGCAGGCCCAGGAAGGGGCCTCCCCGCCAGGCACCAGAGGTGTAGTGGCAGGGCCAGAACACACAACAGCCAGGTCCCAGATTTAGCTCCTGGCAGGGAGCTGGGTCATCTCTCATGGCAGGCATGGGCTCCGGTGCCAGGGGCAGCCTGGGCCAGGGCAGGGAGGGCATCAGAAGGCAGCCTGGGGTGGGGGACTCCTTTCCTTGGTGGCCCTGGAAGTGGGTCATGCTCAGTCTGTTTTCTGCCCCGGGACAGCAGCAACTTGGCCAGGTGGAGGGCGAGGTACCCCGTTTGAGGGACTTCTCTCTGGCAGCTTCTAAGAGGAGGGTCAGAGTTCAGTCTGCTGAGAAGGAGGCAGAGGGGGTTCCTGTCCTGGGGGCTGGGAGGTCAGCCTAGACAAACAGCAGAGATGGAGGTCGTGGGGATCAGACTCTCTCTGTGATGCAGGTTTGATGCTCTAAAAACTGTGATCCAAGAACATTTAGATACTGTCATGAGCTTAAATTTTGAACTTAAGTTTTGAATGAAAAAGGAATTGAACGATTGAACCCTCTTGCGTTTTGGTTCAGAGATTCCATAGTTGTGGAGTTCTGTACCTATAACGATGGAGTTTTACAGGTCTAAGAGGGCTCTACGGGGCTGTGGGTTTTGCATTGCTAGTTGCTGAGATTCTATGCTGCTCAGGTACTAAGGTTCTTTGGGCCCAAGGGCTGTTTCTCAGAGTTCCTAATGTGAGGTTTGGCATGTGTTCCCCATATGAGCAGGGCTGTGTTTCTCTGAAGTCCCTGGGTAATGCAAATGGTTTACACACTCGCTTCTAACTGAAAGGTTGGATGTTTGAGGTGCCTCGGAATAAAGTCCTGGCGATCTACTTCTGAAAGGTCATAGCCATGAAAATCCTGTGGTGCACAGTTCTACTCTGACACATGGGGTCGCCACGAGTTGGGTGGACTCAATGGTAGCTAATAACAACAATATATCTATCTTGCTCCCTGCCACATAGCAGGCACTGAATGAATAGTTTACTTATTACTTATGCCTGTGCTCATTGTCTGTCTCCTCTTAGGAGGTAAGCAGGGCTGTCTATATTGTTCACTGGTGTATTCCAAGCGCACAGACAAGCGCCCAGCACGTAGCAGACGCTCGGTGAACGGAGACCGAGGAGGCGCGGGTGCAACGGCGCCAAGGTCCCACGCGGGGGCGCCCGTGCTGCGAGGCGTGTGCGGAGACAGGCCAAGGCGGGGGACCGACGGACTACAAGTCCCATGGTGCCTCGCGCCGCCGCCCGACAGTGCGCAGGCGCGGCCGGCCGAGCGTCCTTCGCAGCGGGCGAAGCAGGCCGCGGCAGCTAGGCCGAGGCCGGGGATCCGAGCTTGCCGCCCGTCGCCGCCATGCCGGACAGCTGGGATAAGGACGTGTACCCCGAGCCCCCGCGCCGCACGCCAGCGCCATCGCCGCAGACCTCGCTGCCCAACCCCATCACCTACCTGACCAAGGCCTTCGACTTCCTCGTGGACCGGCCCGTGACCCTCGTGAGAGGTACGAACCCCGGGCCGCGCCGCCCCCCCGGGCATCCCCGGGTCATGGCGCTTCACATGGAGCCCCCTACTGCACCCCAGGCCTCGCCTCCCAGAACCGCCCCCACCGTCCCCGGGATTCCCGCTCCATGAACATCCCCGGGTCATGGCGCCTCACATGGACGCCCCCCAACACACCCCCGGCCTCGCCGCCCGGAACACCCCCCTGCCGCTCCCGAGACCCCTGCTCCCCGAACATGCTCGGGTCCTGTCATCTTGTATCGACCCTGGCACTGCACTCCTGCACATCCCCGGGCCCTGTGGCCTCACATGGACCCCCCACTGCACCCCAGGCCTTGCCTTGCAGAACCCCACCACCACCGTCCCCAGGACCCCTGCTCCTCAAACGTCCCCAGCTGTGGTGCCTCACATGGACCCCGCCTCCCGCTGCACCCCAGACCTCACCGAATACCCACCACCCCCCTGGTCCCAATACCCTGGCTTTGCCCCATGGGAGTCTCCCTCGGGTCCTCTGCCTCCTTGGTTTCCCTGCACCCAGGGCCCTACCTTCTGGGACCCCCACCCCCACCGCACCTCCTACACAGGGAACCACACTCTCAGTCCTGCCCCTTGGAAGCCCCTCCACCACACCCCTGGCCACCGGCCTCCCTGAGCATCAGAAGTTTGTGGGTCGCAATCATCTGTGACCTGGGCTTGTTGGGCCTCAGTCTCCCCACAGTGCTGTGTGGGGTAGGCTCCCGTTAACCGGCTGTCCACTGTCAGGGTGGTCATTTGCCCACTTTGGGCAACAGTTACCTGCTCACAAAACGACAGGATGCTCAGTGATGGCCAAGGTCCCCCCAACCTGGACGTGCTGCAACTCACCCTCTGTGTGTGCCCAGCATGTGAGCTGCCCGCATCCCCATGTCTGGTCCCCAACAGGCTGCTCAGCACTGGTCTGGGTCGCCCCCTTTGGGGTCAAGCTCAGTGGAGCAGCCTGAGAGCATGCTCTGACTTCAGTCACAAGTCATCCACTCATTTAATTAATCAATTCACCTGGTCGACAGATCACATTAGGGGCACTTATCATTCTCTGGTGGCTATTCTGTCATTACTTGCCATGGAGTTGGCCCCCAACTCATGATGACCCCATGCACAACAGAACAGAATGCTGCCCAGTCCTTTGCCATCCCCACGACCCCACGACCCGTTGTGATCCATCGGTTTTCATTGGCTGGTTTTTTGAAGTACATCACCAGGCCTTTCTTCCTAGTCCCTATTAGTCTGGAAGCTCCACTGAAACCTGTTCAGCATCATAGCAACACGCAAGCCTCCACTGACAGATGGGCGGTGGCTGCGCAGGAGGTGCATTGGCCGGGAATCAAACCCAGATCTTCCACATGGAAGGCGAGAGTTCCACCACTGACCCACCAGTGCCTCATATGGCTTTTCTGTTTGTTAGTAGCTGTCGAGTCAATTCCGACTCATGGTGACCCCGTGTTTGCAGAGCAGAACTCCTCCCTAGGGTTTTCAGAGCTGTGATCTTTTGGAAGCACATCGCCAGGCCTGTCTTCGACGCTCTTCTGGGTGGACGGGAACGACAATCTTTTGGCCAGTGGTGGAGCGTATAACCATTTGCACCACTCCCGGAGGCTCTGGAATCAGTATAGCAGAGGGCCCAACTCATGCAGTGATTTCTTAGAAAGTGTTTCAGATGCCTGGATGTGATCTCATTAGGTTCAACTTGGCAATGTACCGATGGGGAAGCTAAGGCCCAAAGGTGAGCGGTGGCAGAGCTGAACTACAACTCAGGGTGGTGGCCCCTGTGCTGTGCAGGGTGTGGTCTTTAGCAGGGGCTGGGCTCCCACCAGAGAATGGGGTCTGCACAGCAGGGGTCTTGGCCGCTGGCCTGGGTTCCAGTCCCTGTTTGTCACTCCCAGCTGTCTGTAGCCCTCAGCCCTCTGTCTGTAGATGAAAAGGACCTGCTGCTGAGGGTTGTTGCGGGGACAGTGAGACGGTGCATGCAGGAGCTGAGGATGATGCCCAGCACACAGTAAACAGTGATGCCACATGGTCCCCTAGTCCTTCTTAGGACTGTCACCGTGACACCTCTTCTTGGAGACAGAGTGCCCGTTTCTGTAAAAGCTGGGAACATTGGGGACATCTGCCCCCTCCGCGGCTAACGTGGAAACTGCCGCCTTCCCACACCGATGGGCCGTTTGACCTGGGTTTCTCTCTGCAGACTTCATCGAGCGGCAGCACGCCAAGAACAGATACTACTATTACCACCGGCAGTTCCGCCGCGTGCCCGACATCACTGAGTGCGAGGAGAAGGACGTCCTGTGCATGTTCGAGGCAGAAATGCAGTGGCGGAGGGACTAGTACGTGCCTGCGCCCGGCCTCGTGCGCCTCAGTGGTCCCAGCTGTGCAGCAGCAGTGTGTCCTGCCAGGCTGTGCTCCCTGGGGATCCATGGCTCCATGGGGGAGGAGGGCCACGGTCCTGCTTTGACCCTACTTTCCCTGGGTACAAGGAGCCCTGGTGCCGCAATGGTTAAGCACCTGGCTGCTCACCGAAAGGTCAGCAGCTCTGCAGAAGAAAAATGTGGCAGTCTGCTCCCATAAAGATTTTAAAAAACAGAGTAGAACTGCCCCATGAGGTTTCCAAGGAGCGGCTGGTAGATATGAACTGCTGACCTTTTGGTTAGCAGCCAAGCTCTTAACCACTGTGCCACCAGGGCTCCAGACCAAACCCAACCCACTGCCGTGGAGTCAGTTCCAGCTCAGCGACCCTAGAGGTTTCCAAGACTGTACATCTTTACTACGGGAGCAGACCGCCACATCTTTCTCCCCTGGAGCTGCTGGTGGTTTTGAACTACCGACGTTCTGCTGTGTCCTACAGGGTTGCCGTGAGTCAGAATTGACTCGTTGGCAACGGGTTTGGGTTTTTTTTAGATTTTTCCCTGGGTGCAGGGCAACAGTTCTTTTCAGATTGCCTTGCTTGTCCCCCTCTTCCAGCAAAGTTGACCAGGAGATCGTTAACATCATCCAGGAGAGGATGCAGGCCTGCCAGCAGCGGGAAGGCGAGAGCTACAAGCAGAACTGTGCCAACGAGCTGGAGCAGTTTGCCCAGGTGTCCAAGGCCTACCAGGACCGCTGTGAGTGCCTGCCTGCTTTCCCCAGGGCCCCTGGGTCCTGCTTCCCCACACAGCTGCCCCAAGTGGGTCTCATTTCTTCACAGAACCACCTGGGAAGGTTTATAAACGTGTCACTACCCATGGCTGACCCTTGGCCAGTTAAGGCTAGACTGGGGACAGGACTCGGGCCTCACTGATTATCTGAGAACCGTCACCTCAGGTCCCTCCTGTGGCCATTCCACCCCAGCTCCCCTGCGTTTGAGAAGGTTCAATATCCTCATGGCGGAAATGGTTCATGACTTCCTGTTCCCCTCCCTAGATCACGACCTGGGGGCCCACTTTTCTGCCAGGAAGTGCCTGGCCAAACAGAAGCAGAGGATGCTGGCTGAGAGAAAAGCTGCAAAGGAGCCAGCTGCTGCCTGAGCCCCTTCCTGTCACAGTTTTACTTCTGAAATAAAGTGACGAACTTGTCCAGGTTTCCCGTGTTGCCTCCAACTCAATCCCAAACCCAGTGCCATCAAGTCCCTTCTGACTCACAGAGAGCCTGTGTTAAGAGTTTAACTGCTTTGCAAGGTTTTCTCCGCTGCGATCTTTATGGGAGATCACCAGGCCTGCCTTCCAGCACCACTGGATGGGTGTGATCGCCAGCCTTTGCTAACTGAAGGCAGACCGGTTTACACCGCCCAGGACAACCGCCTGATTTGGCCGGTCCCACCCCCACAGATTCAGCCACCACTAGATTTGTGAGAAAAAAACACAAAAAGTTTTAACAGACAATTCTTTTTATTTTTCTTGTATAAAAACCACTATGTGGTGGCCACAGCTGGAGCCTGGGTCCTCTGCACCGAGACTCTGGTGTGGGTCTTTACGAGATGGTCAGTGAATTCCTGAAAAGACAAATGAGGGTTTAACCACACCCAGACACACTGCCACCCATCCTCTGGGCTCCCTCACGAGGTGGGCTGCTGAGACTAAAGACAGCTCCGCCCCACTCAAGCAGCAGATGGTACCTGGTAGGGAGACTTGGTGAACACGGTCTCTTTCCAGAGGTCAGGGGTGAGATAGCTGTAGGTCTTGGAGATGGCATCAAAGGTGGCCTTCGCTAGAGAGTGGGAAACATCAGAGAGGTGGAGCCTTTCTTCAGACAACCCCCACCCCAGACAGATCCTGGGAACAGAGGCCAGAGTGGTCCCCACGTGTGCGCAACCTACCAAAGTTGCCCAGAGTGGCAGTGCAGCCCCTGGCCGAGGTGTAGCAGTCGTCAATACCGGCCATCATCAGCAGCTTCTTGGGCACAGGGGCCGAGACTATGCCAGTGCCTCTGGGTGCGGGGATGAGGCGCACCAACACAGAGCCGCAGCGGCCAGTCACCTAGAAGGGCACAGAGTTCAGGGGCCCAGAAAGTCACACAGTCCTTTGCAGGTCCCCTCTCCCAACTTGCAGCCTCCTACCTTGCAGGGAACAGTGTGGGGCTTGCCGATCTTGTTCCCCCAGTAGCCTCGCCGCACAGGGACGATGGAGAGCTTGGCCAGAATGATGGCCCCGCGGATGGCGGTGGCCACCTCCTTGGAGCACTTAACGCCTAGACCGACATGCCCATTGTAGTCCCCAATGGCAACAAATGCCTGCAGACACAATGAAACGGGTTGTGGCCAGACCCCGAGGTGCCCAGCGTCAGTGCCCAGCGCCCAGAGCTTGTTGCGCCCCTCAAGGAAAGAAAGGCCACAAGGAGGCCTATCCGACGTCCCGAGGAGATCCTTCGTCTCTCTCCCCATTACGAAAATCACACGTGTTCAGGCAGGTGTGACTACGCAGAGCTGGGAGAGTCTCACAGACCCGCAGGCACAAAAGGCCCCACAAAAGCCAAGGTACCTTGAACCTGGTCCGCTGGCCGGCGCGAGTCTGCTTCTGCACAGGCATGATTTTCAAAACCTCGTCCTTGAGGGCCATCCCCAGGAAAAAGTCAATGATCTCAGACTCCTGCAGAAAAGGGAAAACTTAACGTGATATGTTTACTAAAAAGATTAAACCAAGGCTTCAAACAGCTTCAAAAGTCTGTTAAACATGTATTTTCCTAACAAGTTCTGAGAAAGCTGGAGACAAGAATCACCTCTGAATATTATCTTAGTGTAACTCTTGATTCAGTAAATTTAAGTTGAAAATATAAATTCTAGAGTTCTAACTGGAGCGAACCAGTTTGAAGCTCTTAGTTAAACACAAACCCAAACTTTAAAAACACCCATAGTCGTGCGTTCAAGCTGTCCAGCCTTCTAATCCCCCTACCCGGTCCTAAAAGGTGTCAGACGAACACCACCACTCACACGGTTCAACAAACGTTCCACTCGAAAATCAGAGCCTTGCGCCTCTCAATGGCTGGAAAACGGCAGAACCTGAAACCAGGCCTCCAATCCCAGCCCAAGCGAGACCCCCCCACCCCGCCGCCCACTCCTCCGCCAAGGCCCTGGATGTGCCCGGCGGCCCGTCTGTACCTTGATGGGCAGGGAGAAGAGATAGATCTCCTCCAAGGACTTGATCTTCATGTCCTTAACCAGGCGACCCAGCTTGGTGACGGGGAGCCACTGGAGGGACAACAGGCGCGGTGAACGGAGGCCTGGCGGGCCATCGCCGCCCACGAGCCCGCCCCAGGCGCACAACCTAGGACCTACCTCTTTGTCCTCGGCTTTGCCTCCGCGAGCTCCGCGGCCTCGGCCCCGGCCCCGACCCCGGCCGCGACCCCGGCCCCGCAGGCCACTGCCGAAGCCTCCGCGGAAGCCGCCGCGGGTTCCCATTCCCGGGCCCCCGGGGCCTCCAGGCCCTCCCGCTGCACCGGCGTCATCCGCCATTTGCTGAACAAAGCGACAAGAACAAACCAGTCAGTGAGACCGTGGCATCCGCGGCCGCCCGCGGGCAAAGCCCGGCATGGACGGTGACTCTCGCCCCCGCCCGATGTCCGCGGATTCCCGCCGCCCTGCCCGCGCGCCGCGGCCATCACCACAGTAACTCACGTGTTTTTTCGGGGAAGAAGAACGACACAACCCAGGAGGAGGCTTTTATATCACGCCAGGCATCGCGAGATCTCGCCCGCCCGCCCGAACCTGAACGAGCCGCGACGCTCCGCCCACACGATCTAGGTGCGCCTGCTTCTGCGCCTGCGCCTTGCCCCCCGCCCCCGCCCCACCACCCGCGGCCGGAAGGCGCCGGCGGGAGCGGGCGGATGCTGACGTGCTGGTGCCGCTATAAATGCAGGCCTGCCGCAGCGCCTCCTGTCAGCCTCGTGCTTTCTCCCGCAGCACAGGTTCCGCGTCGCTAGGTACGTCTGCGACTCTCGCATGTCCAAGTCTGCGCCGGGCAGACCCTGGCCGAGGCCCCCGGAGCGGTGGTCCCTTGGGTGGTGATCCCGTGGGTGGTGGGCGGGGAGCCCGGCGCTGGTTGAAAATCGCCTGCGGCCTCGTCCGTGGCCACGGGTGAGATTCGGCGCCCAGAGCCACCGGGGGCCTCCGCTCGCCGCCAACTGCCTCGATGTGGGCGGCTGAAACCCAGGCCCCGACAGGCGCCGCCGCATCCAGGCCTCGGTGTGCCGCCTGCCCGGTTCCGCCTCTGACCCTTCCTCTCTCCGCAGGTCCCTGAAGCCAGAGCCTGCGGACAACGCCTCCGGAACCGCGGGGTGGGGAGGGTTGGTTCTCCTTATCTCAAATAAAGCTGTTTGTTTGGTGAACTCGCGTGTGGGTGTTTTTGCAGCCACGTTTGTTGGTCTGGGAGATGCATCTATTGATGCTGGCACCAAGGAAGCTTTGGAGGGGAGAACCCCGGGGGATGCTTCGGACTCCTCACTGGAGTAGGACTTGGGTCTCCCGGGTCGGCAAGTAGCAAATATACGGGTTGTGAACCCTGATCTTTCTGTCCGTACCCCAGACGTATCCCTTGGGCCTCCATACCGTGGGGAGGGTGCCCTGGGGTGAAGTGAGTGGCTTGGGCCAGCAAGGATGGAAGTGTAAGATTTCCAGGTCGAAGCTTTGCTCTGAGGATAGGGTTTAGGTTTCCTAGGATTTGTCCAGCGAGACCTAGGTGAGCTTGGCACCCCAACAGCTCTGAACTTGCCGTTTCCTGTTTAGTTCTTCACCTGTGGGAACATGCTGGTCCCACAAGTTATACTTGGTTATCTGATGGCTTGTTTCATGAGTCTGTCCGGATCATTCCAGGTGACCTGCTCTGGAGGGCTTTCCCCGCACACCCAGGGGCCTCCCTGAGCTCTGTGGGACTCTGCAGGTTGCACTCGAATAAGGTCCTCACAGCCCTGGTCTGCTCTGGAGCTAGCACCCAAGCTCCTGGATCCTGGTTAAAGTCACACAGCCCCCAAGCTCTTGAAGCCCTCGCTACCTGGGCAGCCTGTTTGAGGTGGGGGGCAGAGGGGGCAACTCTGAGCCTGCTCAAGTCTCAGCCCAGTACAGCCTGGGGAGTAGTGGTCAGCCACCCCCAAGCGCAGGGGCTCTGGGTGGCGGCTGCCCCACCCCTCCCTGTGATCCGCCAGAGGAGAGCAGGGGCCAGGCCATGCAAGGTCCCAGAGGGCCCTGGGCCAGGGCTGTGATTGGCCTGAGCCCGACAATGCCACTGTGATGTCGGCCCCCTCCCGCTGTGAAATGGAGGCCCCTGCGCCCTGCAGGTCAGTGAAGCTGCCGTCCTGACCCAGATCATGGTGAGCCCAGGCCTCGTGCCTCCTGCTCTTAGATCTGTGCCCAGTTCTGGAGACGGGCTTGGGCTGCACCCCACTCCTCTGATAAAGGGGGGACACTGAGTTGCAGCCCCCCCATGTGGGGCAGGGGGACCTTTCAGAGGGCGCCTCCAGCCAGGTCTAACTCCAGGCGAAGACCAGCTTCTTCAGCCTGGGGCTGGTTGAAGGGAAGTCAAAGCAGGTGCTGACCCAGCTCCTCTACTTAGGATTCTCATGCAGCTCAGCTACCTGCCCAAAGCTTGTTGGGAATCTCGACCTCTGGGTATGTAGAGTGGGGGTCAGATCCTGGTCCCAGCCCTGACATTCCGGCCTTTGCAGAGTGGAGGGTATGATCTCAACCTCTTCGCCAGCCCTCCCGACTGCAACTTCCTGTGCTCCATCTGCCATGGGGTGCTCAAGAGGCCGGTGAGGTTGCCATGCAGCCACATCTTCTGCAAGAAGTGTATCCTCCGCTGGCTAGCCAGGTGTCCTGGGCACCCAAGGGGCGGGGAGGCCAGGGGAAGGTTGGCCAAGCACTGGGTCACGATGGCCATAGGTTCAGCCACCAAAGCCAACACTAAGATGTGTGGGGAGCCCTCCATGGTGTCTGCAGCCCCCACGCCCCTTACTGCCTGAGCCTCAGAGTCACCCCACCCTCTGAAAGCTCCCTGTAGTGGCTCCTTCATGCCTCCTTCCAGCTGGGGCTGGCGAGGAAAGGGTCACCCAGGGAGGGCCCAGCCAGGGGAGGCACATGGCTGGCGCTGCCCCCTCCCCACTCTCCCGCTCACCCCCACCTGGGGCACGCGCCTCCTTCCAGGCAGAAGACCTGTCCGTGCTGTAGGAAAGAGGTGAAATGGAAAAGCATGGTCCACGTGAATAAACTCCGGAAAATCATTGGCCGCCTGGAAGTCAAGGTAGCTCACGGCAGCCCCTCCCACACCCCCTCATCACCCTTTCGAGAGCAGGAGGGGCAGAGCTAGGAGAGGGGAGGAGAACCCCATCTTCAGACAGAGCTGACGGTTGGTTTCTGCTCTGCATCCTTGGGGTCGTCAGACCTGGCTGAGTTTGAATCGCGGCTCTACCACTTACTTGCTGTGTGACTGGGCCCTTAGCTGTGAATGGGGGTGATAGAGGATTTTTAGAGGATGGAGTACCTGGCATGCCAGCCATTACTCTCCAGCTCCCTAGTTTTACAGATGGGGAAACTAAGGGTCAAAAAGGGGAAGTGACAGGCTTCAAGTTTTGCAGGGGTAAAAAGAAATCCTGGTGTACAAGCCCTACCAGACCCACGCAACCATGTCCCTCCCTGCTCTCAGACTCTGCCCGCCTCTGGGACGGCTAGGCTCCCATCTCCATGCGTTTGTCCGCTGTTCCTTCCCCTCTCCCTACCAGTCCTCAGATGAGCTTGGGATGCCCCCAATTCGCTGGTTCCTGGTCTGTGGAATGTGGTAGAGTTGGGGGACTAGGGGGCTGTGAGTCCGTGGGCGGCCCAGCTGGCAATGCCCAACCTGGTTTGGCTCACTAGGTGCCCTCCCCTGCCCCCAGTGCAAGAACGCTGAGGCTGGCTGTTTGGTGACGTGCCCCCTGGCCCATCGTAAGGGACACCAGGACTCATGCCCCTTCGAGCCGATGGCCTGCCCCAATGAGGGCTGCTCCGCGCGGGTGCCACGCCGGGCTCTGGCCGAGCACCGGCAGCACTGCCAGCACAGGGCCCAGCGGCGCTGCCCCCTGGGCTGCGGAGCCACCCTTGGCCCTGCCGAGCAGGCCGACCACAACTGCTACCGTGAGCTGCGCGAGGCCTGGGGCCGGCGCCAGGAACGCAGCCGAGCCCTGCTGTCCCGCCTGCTGAGGTGCGTGCGCCGGGTGCATCGCTCCACCAATCTCATCCGCCGGCAGCTGGCCCAGCTCGCGGACTTCCTGGAGGAGGACGATGTCCAGCTCGAGAGCGTACCAGAGGAGGAGCCTGAGACCGCCCCGGAAGGCAGCAGCGGGGCTGGGGTGTGGGAGGTTCAGGGCCAAGGTACCTTGTACATAGAGGATTAAATAAAAGCGGAGCCCAGGCCTGGCCTACCTCGGTGCCTGTGTGCTTGCTGGCCCCGCCTACCTCTCCTGTCTCTTCCCTTCAGCTCCCCAGAATCGCTTTGGCCTAACCCTCGAATTCTCTAGGCTCTTTCCCACCACTGGGTCTCTACACTGGCTGTTTCGCCTGCCTGGAACGGTCTTGCCCTCACTCTTCATTCGCCTGGTTCCTGTCTCTGATCATTTTCTCCTAGCCTCTTTCCAGGTTTCTTTCTGCCAACCTCTTTTACCAGCTTCACAGCCAGTAGCACAAACTCTGAACTCAGTGGAAGAATCAACTGCTTACAACAGCCCATAAAAAACCCTCCCATGATCTCTGACTTCCTCTCCTTTCCTCCCGCTCACTTCCTGCAGCCACACTCTGTTGCTCCTGCTACTTACCTGGCATGCAGCCCCCCCAGGGCCTTTGCACTGGCTGTTCCTCAGCCTACTTCTTCTCAAAGACCCCTTCTCCACCTACCCCATTTAAAATCACACCTCCTGCACTCCACCATCCCTTACCCTGAACTATATTTTCCACAGCACTTAACTATTATGATTCTCTTGCCGGTTCCAACCCACCCACTAGAACGTGAGCTACTAAACTTTTGTTTATTGTTGTCTTCCAAGTGCCTCGAACAGTGCTTTGTCCGTATAAAGCGTTCAATAAACGTCTGAATGACTCTGAAATTCGCCGCTTTATTCATTTAGCTGTGCAATTTATCATATCAGACTGAGCCCCCTCAGGCAGGGACTGGTTCACCAGAGCGCGCTTGACCCCATATCCCAGAATGCCGAGGAGGCAGGAATTTTGGGATTACTTTACTACCCAAAAGGTCAGTAGTTCGAATCCACCACCCGCTCCTTGGAAACCGTAGGGGGCAGTTCTACTCTGTCCTATAGAGTCGCTATGAGTCGGAATCGACTCAACTGCAACGGTTTTGGTTGGGTTTTTTTTTTTTTTTTTTTTAGTAATCTTGGGATTACCACGAATACCTTTTTTATTTCCATTAAAAGATCAGATCCCTGGCGAACCCCGCCACAGGTCCCTCTAGGAAGCCCCACACTCCCATCCTCCAAAACGGAAACGCTCTCCCGCAGCTTCCCCTGTAGGAGCAGCTACTGCCCACATCAAAGATGGCGCAGTGCGCGTAGTGCTGATGACGCCATAGTGGTCGCAGATGGTGACGCTATCGCAGCGCGCCGGCAGTGTGGAGTAAGGCGTCCGATCTGCCTCACGCGGCTGCGGCATCTCTGACAGATTCCAGCGGGAGTGACGGCGTCCGCGGCGGCGGCAACATGGCAGAGACAGCGGCCGGAGTGAGCCGCTTCAAGGCCAAGTGAGCCAGGGGTCTGGGGCTGCGGGCGCCGCCCAGAGAGGGAGCCGTTTTCCCAGGCGGAGGGGGTTGAAGGGGTGCGTGGAGCCGCGCCCGCCGCGGACTGGGCACGCATTCGGTGTCTGGGGATGCGTGAAGGCTGTATACGCTTGGTGCGCGGGGTCGGGGGCAGCTGCGGTAGTACAAGGTGGAAGAGCCAGCTCCAAGCGCGGGGACTGGAGCCCGGCCGGAGCAGCAGGAGTCGGTTAAGTGCGGCTCCTGTTTTAGTGCGTGGAGCGGAGAGAAAAATCCCAGAAGAGGGGCGGAGGGATGGTCTGAGCACAGGTCAGAGCTGGTCCTGGGCGGAGCGGGGGCCTTCACCCCTTCAGCCTGGGGAGCTTTTATGGGCTGTCTCTGTTCTCCAAGCAGCAGGAAGAGAGGAGGAGACGGGCGGGCGAGGTCCAGAATCCTGTGGTTGACCCTGTATCAAGTGCTTAGTTCCGGGGCGGGTCACACTCAGCTCCCTGCCTTGTGGAGCGCAGTCTGACGGGGTGATACGTTAAGCAAATCATTTTTGTCACCAGCAGTGGAACTTCGGTTGTAGAAAGTACTAGCGAAGAGAAACCCCGGTGCTGAGGGCACATCATTTGGATGGTTAACTGGGTGCGGGTGATGGGGGCTTGGTTTCTTCTTGGGAGTCAGGCTCTCGTGACCCCTTCCCCATCCCTGGTTCCCTGAGTTGAGTTCACCAGGCATTGAAACTGGGGGAAGAGAGACCGAGGCCTCATACAGGGAACAGCCGGTAGGAGACCCGCGGGCAGAAAATAGAAAACGACTTGTCACAGGAGCTGGGTCCACAGCGGTGTATCTGCAGAGTGGCCATGAGAGGGAAGAGAGGAGCAAGAGAGGTTGGCAGAGGCCCCTCTGGGCGAGACCTTGGCGGCCTTGTAAGGAGAAAGGAGATTTTTAAGCAGGGCAGGGACATAGCTGCAGGGTGGAGGGAGCAGCTGGGGGCCCTGGAGGAGAGGCTGCAGTGGTCTGGGTGGCAGAGAGGAAAGTGGGCAGCAGGAGTGAGGTCACAGGAGGGCTGCTTAGAGAGTAGGCTCCAGGCCAGGCCGGGGCGGGAGGAGGGAGCCAGGTCTGGAGAAGGAGGTGCTGGATCTCAGGGCTGACAGTTACTGAGGAAAAGGAAGATGCTCTAGGCTCCAATACCAGGCCTGTCTTCCGGTGACCAGCAGGGGGCACCCAAGGCCTAGCGAACTCTGCCCTGGGGAGCCTAGGCTGCCTGGGTCTGATGCAGCCATCTCTTACTGCTGTGAGATCCCAAGTGGACCTCCGATCCCTGCAACGTGGGGGTAGCTGCAGGCAGAATTCGAGGCGATGAAGTGTAGAGCTCAGCCAGGGAGCCACCTTTTCATGGCCCCGGGACCCCATTTCTGTTCTCGTAACTCTCTCCCTTGGCCCCTGCTGCTGCCCAGGAGCTGGTCTCAGTGCAGAGGTCCTCGGGGGCAGGGCCCTGTCAGGGTCATCTCTGGGAGAGCACCGGCACAGGGCCGGGCATAGGGACCAGGGGGCGGCTGGTTCACTCACTCCCCATCCTTCCTCCAGCTATGCCATCGAGCGCAAGATCGAGCCTTTCTACAAGGGCGGGAAGGTGCAGGTAGCTACCCGGGGCAGGGTGGGAAGTGGGGAGGCAGGCCTGGGTGAGGGGTGAGGAGCACTGCCCGGCTGAGATCCATTTGTCCCCAGCTGGACCAGGCTGGGCAGCACCTCTTCTGCGTCTGTGGTACCAGAGTCAACGTCCTGGAAGTGGCTTCAGGGGCCGTGCTGCGGAGCCTGGAGCAGGTGAGGCCAGAGCCAGCTGGGGGACAGGGGGTGCGGGGAGTCAGCCATCCTCATGGCGCTATCCGCCCCATCTCATCTCCAGGAGGACCAGGAAGACATCACTGCCTTTGACCTCAGCCCTGATGATGAGGTGTGTGGGGCAGGCATGGGAGGTGGCTCTGATCCCCGCGCGCACATTTTGAGCCTGTGGGGAGGGGTGGCTGTGCCTGTACTCCAGCTGAACCACGTTCTCCTCCAGGTGCTGGTGACGGCCAGCCGGGCATTGTTGCTGGCCCAGTGGGCCTGGCGAGAGGGCAGTGTCACACGCCTGTGGAAGGCAGTCCACACAGCCCCTGTGGCCACCATGGCCTTCGACCCCACTTCCACACTGCTAGCCACAGGTAGAGCCCCAGCCAAGTGGGTGGGCCGGAGGGCATACGGGCGGGGGTGTTGGGAACACCAGCCCCCGTGCCTCATACACACCTCCTGCAGGCGGCTGCGATGGGGCCGTGCGCATCTGGGACATCGTTCGACACTACGGGACGCACCACCTGCGGGGCTCAGCGGGCGTCGTGCGGTGAGTGGGGCGGCCGGGGACAGGGCGGGCGTTAGGCCCCAGGCCCCGGGCAGCCCAGAGCTCACGTGCCCACCGTGTGCTGCAGTTTGGTGGCCTTCCACCCGGACCCGGCACGCCTGCTGCTCTTTTCCTCAGCAGCGGACGCCGCCATCCGCGTGTGGTCCCTGCAGGACCGGTCGTGCCTGGCCGTGCTGACCGCTCACTACAGTGCCGTCACCTCGCTGGTCTTCAGTGCCGACGGCCACACCATGCTCAGGTCAGCGGGCAGACCGCGGCAGGCCTTGGTGGGAAGCGGGGGGCACGGCGGAGACGCCTCCGCTGAGGAGGCCGTTTTCCCCCCAGCTCTGGCCGTGACAAGATCTGCGTCGTCTGGGACCTGCAGAGCCACCGGGCCGTGAAGACCGTGCCAGTGTTTGAGGTGGGCTGCCGGGGGTCGGCGAGTTGGTGGGGAGGGCCCTGGCGGCAGCTTCTGACCCAGCTCATCCCCAGAGCGTGGAGGCCGCGGTGCTGCTGCCAGAGGAGCTGGCGCCTGAGCTGGGCGTGAAGTCCCCCCCGGGCCTGCACTTCCTGACGGCTGGCAGCCAAGGTGGGTGGAGCCGGGCCTCAAGGCGAGAGGTGGGCAGCGGGGACTGAGGCGGCCCGCAGGCCTGCAGGTCCCAGCTGCCCCGTCCCTGCACAGGCTCGCTGCGCGTGTGGGAGGTGGCATCCGGGCAGTGTGTGTACACACAGCCGCGGCTGACAGGCCCCGGGCAGGAGCTGACCCACTGCGCCCTGGCCCGCGCTGCCGGCCTGCTGCTCAGCGTTACTGCCGACCACAACCTGCTGCTCTACGAGGCCCACTCGCTGCAGCTGCGCAAACAGGTGAGCACCGCCCCGCATAGCCTGGGGTCGCATGGAGCTGCCGCTCCCCAGCACGGACCCCCAGTTCCTGTCCCTCCTGCCCTCGCACAGCCCGGGGTCATGTGGAGCTGCCCCTCCTGCCCCCACAGTTTGCCGGCTACAGCGAGGAGGTGCTGGACGTCCGGTTCCTGGGGCCTGAGGACTCCCATGTGGTCGTGGCCTCCAACAGCCCCTGCCTGAAGATATTTGAGCTGCAGACGTCGACCTGCCAGATTCTGCATGGCCACACAGGTGTGCAGCACCCACAAGTGCCCAGACCCACCCTTCCCTGACCACCTGGCCTCTGACCACCCCCTCCCCGTTCCTTCCAGATATCGTCCTGGCCCTGGATGTGTTCCGGAAGGGGTGGCTCTTCGCTAGCTGTGCCAAGGTGAGGCACTTTGAGAGGTGTGGAGGTCCGGGCCACCCAGGTGGGGAGCCAAGGCAGTTGGGCCACCCCGGCCTGTCTCCTCAACCCTCTCCTGTCCCAGGACCAGAGCGTTCGCATCTGGAGGATGAACAAGGCCGGCGAGGTGGCCTGTGTGGCTCTGGGCTCCGGGCACACACACAGCGTCGGCACTGTCTGCTGCTCTAGGTAGTGGGGCTGGGGTTGGGGCCAGGTGGCCAAGGCCCAAGCCCTGCTGAGAGGGCTCCAGCCCCGGGAGAGAGGGGAGGAGGCAGGACGGAGAACAAGGGCTGGGAGAGGGCTCCTGGGACCGGGTGTTGGGGCTGGGTGGATGAACGAAGGGCATCAGAGTGAACAGCATGACCCTGCCGGAGGCCCAGGCGGGGCAGGCACACTGGGGTCCTGTTGTCAGGCCCACTCCTTTGGTGTGCTGGCACCAGGCTGGGGTGGTGAAGGGCTCAGGTGCAGGCAGAGGGCTGGGGCTTTGCTCCCAGAGACATCTGCGAGTGACGTGTCCCCTTTCCCCTCCCCATCTAATCCCACCACAGGCTGAAGGAGTCCTTCCTGGTGACAGGCAGTCAGGACTGCACGGTGAAAGTCTGGCCACTCCCTGAAGGCCTGTTGTCCAGGACCACCGCCCCCAGTGGGGGCCCCGTCCTCCTGCAGGCCCAGGCCACACAGCGCTGCCATGACAAGGTGACGGCACTTGCCGCTGGGGGGTGGGGTGGGGGACGGGCACCGCCCAAGCTGGGGTCCGAGCCAGCGGCCTGCTCCCGTCTCCAGGACATCAACAGCGTGGCCATCGCCCCCAACGACAAGCTGCTGGCCACAGGCTCCCAGGACCGCACGGCCAAGCTCTGGGCGCTGCCACAGTGCCAGCTGCTGGGCGTCTTCTCAGGCCACCGGCGTGGCCTCTGGAGCGTGCAGTTCTCGCCCATGGACCAGGTGCTGGCCACGGCCTCGGCCGACGGCACCATCAAGCTCTGGGCGCTGCAGGACTTCAGCTGCCTTAAGGTGAGCTGCCCCCACCCCAGCCCGACCCCCCAGCCGACGGCACCTCACCCCATCCTCCCCCCCACAGACCTTCGAGGGGCATGACGCCTCCGTGCTGAAGGTGGCCTTCGTGAGCCGGGGCACGCAGCTGCTGTCCAGGTTAGCGGCCAGGGCCCGGCAGGGTGGGCCAGGCGGGCCGGCTCAGGACTGAGCCCCCATCCCTCTGCCCCTCCCTACCCCCACCCCAGCGGCTCGGACGGGCTCTTGAAGCTCTGGACCATCAAGAACAACGAGTGTGTGCGCACGCTGGACGCCCACGAGGACAAGGTCTGGGGGCTGCACTGCAGTCGGCTCGACCACCACGCCCTCACTGGTGGCAGCGACTCCCGCGTCATCCTCTGGAAGGTGCGGGGACTGGGTGGGGTGGGATGGGGGGGCACAGGGAGGCTGGTCTGACCCCAGTGTGACCCCAGGATGTGACGGAGGAGGAGCAGGCCGAAGAGCAGGCCAAGCGGGAGGAGCAGGTGGTCAAGTAAGTGTGCCGCTGCCCGGCCTCTGTCCGGCCCCCTGCCCCACCCGTCAGCAGCCCACCGTGGCCTTCTGTGTGTCACCGTCACCCCTTCCCCTGGGCGTAGGTACCGGCATCATCTCTGCTTTATGGCAGTGGGAAACAGGCTCAGCGGCGGGTGGAGGGGGACACAGCCTGCCCTGTTCCCCGAGGGACCCTCCTCTTTCCCCCACCCCCACAGGCAGCAAGAACTGGATAACCTGCTTCACGAGCGGCGGTACCTGCAGGCGCTGGGCCTGGCCATCTCCCTGGACCGGCCGCACACTGTGCTGACCGTCATCCAGGGTCAGTGCTGCCCCAGGGGCAGGCGATGGGCAGGACGGGGGTCCCGGGTCCAGTGCAGCCCTTCCCAGGGCTGGGCAGGGCAGGGGGCATCCTCGGGTCAATGGGCCTGTTCCCTGGATCTCAGCCTCCCTCTTCCACAGCCATCCGCAGGGACCCTGAGGCCTGCGAGAAGCTGGAAGCCACAGTGCTCCAACTGCGGCGAGACCAGAAGGGTCAGTGGTCTGCGGGCAGGAGCCGGTCAGGGTGAGGGTTGCCTGGTGGGCAGCGCTGACCATCCCTGTTGCCCGCAGAGGCCCTGCTGCGCTTCTGCGTCACCTGGAACACCAATTCGCGGCATTGCCACGAGGCCCAGGCCGTGCTGGGCGTGTTCCTGCAGCACGAGGCCCCCGAGGAGCTGCTGGCCTACGAGGGCATGCGGGCCACGCTGGAGGCCCTGCTGCCCTACACCGGTGCGTGGCATGGCCTGGGGTGGGCGGAGCAGGCACCGGGCCCCGGGGACCTCCTGACCCACCTCTGCACTCCCCCAGAACGGCACTTCCAGCGGCTCAGCCGGACACTGCAAGCAGCCACCTTCCTGGACTTCCTGTGGCACAACATGAAGCTGTCCCCGGTCCCAGCTGGCCCCCCCGGCCCTCTGAGTCGTTCATAAAGGTGTACTTTTCCCTCCTGCCTCCCTGTGTCTTTCTGAGCACTACTGTCACCCCACATCCCTGGCCACAGCCTCGGCCCGATGGTCCACCAGCCAGCCAGCCCCCTCCCTGCACGCTAGCTGAGGTCCAACAAGCTTTCCCCTCAGCACAACCAGACTGGGTTTATTCAGAACAACTTTACTCAGGAAACTATAGCCAGAAAGGAGGTCAGCCTCATCTTGCTTCCCTTCCAGCATCAGGCGGCGCAGATGCATCAGTTACCCCCTGGGGTCTGATCCTCCTCTCTAAGCAAACCTAGGGGCCTACCTCGGAGCTGGACAGGCCCCTATCCCAGACAGTTTCCGAGCCAAGGTCCTTCCTAGCATGGCGTCAACCTTCCGTATTCCGTTTCGCACACCCTCAAGCCAGTCCCTGGCTTCCTGGGTCCCAACCTAGTGCCCTGTGGGTGGTGACGCTGCTGCAGCGGCTCTGAATGGCACTCAGCGGAGGCCGGACGGGCACGGCTGGGCGCGTGGCAGGGAGGGACTCCCGGGCCCGGCCCGCGCTGTCTTCCCTGCCGGCAGCCCCGCCCAGGAGCGCGCCCAGCCTGTCGGGCCGCAGCAGCACCGCTGGCAGGAGGCCGGCCCGGCTACCGTACCTGCGAGGATAGGCGGGGTCCGGTTAGCTCTCGGCCCTGCCCCTGCCCGTCTTGGCCGCGCCCGAGCCGCGCCCGCGCACCTGCACAGCCACCAGCCGCGGTCTGACGTCTCCAGCACGCGCACGCGCGCCCCCGCGGGCACAGACAGCTCGTCAGCGCTGCAGCCCTTGTAGGCGCGGGAAGCACAGAACTGCGCCCCTGCGGGTGGGAATGGGGGGTCACCACTCGGACCCTCGTCATCTACGCTGAGTCACCACCTCCTGGGTCTGCTCGAATCTCTGCTGACGTCAGGACAGCTCTGAAATCCACTCGGGGCTCCCCTTGCTATGAGGACCGAGAATACGTGCCCGCCCCTGCCACCCACCTGTGCCCTTAGCCCCGTCCAACCCCACGGCCTCCTCCCCTGGCTTGCTCAGCTCCAGCGGTGCTGGTGGGCATTGGGGGGTGCATACCGCTGCTCCCCCGCGGCGGGTCCCCCTCCTGCACCTGACCCGGGGCCACCTCCTCCAGGTAGGGAGCGGGAAACCAGGCCATCTGCTTGTCCTCGTTCTCCACCAGCCACCAGCCTGTGCATAAGAGGCGGCAAGGTTTCAGATCCCGGAAGCCTGCTGGGACCTGCGCCAGAGGGCGAGCCCCAGCCCCCTGCCCAGCCGCACCGGAGGCGTGTCGCAGCAGCACGTCCAGGGGCTCCTGGGCCCGCACATGGAAGGGTCGGCCCCGCGTGTCCTGGGTGCGGTAGGGCTGCAGGCAGTGCAGGCTCTGGGCCTCCAGGCTGCGGATATCGAGCCTGCCCACGGGGCCGGGCAGAGGCTCCTCCGGGACGGGCAGAATCACCAGGCTGGGGAGGGCCGCAGGTGACAGGTGGGAATGGACCCGCCACCCCCACCTCCCACAAATCCGCCCAATCTCGCAGTTTTTGCTCCGTGTGACCCCTCCTCCCCATACACCCTGCGCCTCCCCATCCTCCAAATGCCACCGTGGCCGGGAGTTGGGCCGGGTCAGGCACCTGCCGGGTGGCAGTGTGGGCTCCAGGTCTAGGGGTTGCGGCGCGAAGAAGCCGGTGAGCGCCGGGCTCCGGGATACGTGCTCCACTGCCGTCAGCAGTGTCCCGGCATAGGCTTCCAGGAGCCTCAGGCGCGCCAGCCCGCGGCCCGTGCGCGCCCCGCGCGCCAACGGCGGCACGTCTGTGGGCACGACAGGGGTGGACCGTGGGACCCCGTCCCGGGCTCCCCCACCCTGTGCCGGGATCCCCCACCCCGGACGGGGCGGGCTCCCCCACCCGTGTCCCAGCCACCCCGGCCTGACCCGGAAGCGTGGGGAGAATGCGGTCGGATCTGCGCAGCAGGCCCGCCTCGATCGGGAAGGTCTCCTGAAGAGTCCTCTGCGGAGAGAAATGGGCGGATGGGTCTCCGAGATCTCAGGGGTCCTCTGCGACGGTGGGGCCCCCAAGCCGGGACTGTAGGGGTTGGAAGCTGCGAGGCACAAGGGGAGCCCGTGGGCGGGGGTCACCCAGGAGTCATGCGTCGGAGGCGGTTCGGGGACCCGGGGTCGCCCCAGGGTCACTCACGTGGAGCCTCCTGAACTCGTCCCGGCTCCTGCGCACGAAAGTCTGGCCGCCGTCGGACCAGCGCACGGAGAAGGCGAACGTCTGCGGGAGAAAAGGTTGGGGGTCCTCGCGGGGCTGGGGACTGCGTCTTCCCTTTTGGGTCCGTTAGGAACCTCTTCGAGTACCTGGAGCCTCCCGGTCTGCACCAGGGCCGCTGCGCGCACAGACACCGGGTATTGGGGGCTTGCCATGGCGAAGGCCTGCCGATCCCGCCTCCTCCCTGTCGGCTGGGGGCTCCCAGGCACCCAGAAGACTGGCCGGAATTCCCTGATGAGGCCCCGAGTTGGCCAGGCTCCTCCCCTGGGTAGCTGCTTGGCCGTCGGTCCCTCGCAGGCTCCTCGATGCCCCCCAACTCAGATCTGGGGAGCAGGAGCACAGAACTGGGAGGCCCAAGGCAGAACCAGGTTGGAGGGAGAGCTGCCTTGCTCTGGAGGTGTGCAAGAAAGCCCATGTCCTGAGGAAGGAGCGGCCCGGGGGCTGGGACAGTGGCCTAGGGCCCTCCTGCCCTAGTCTAGCAGTGGGAGGAGAGAGGAGAGGGAAGGGCTGGCAGTCCCCACATCAAAGTGCCTGCTGGGCCAAGCTTGCTCCCCGCTGTGCAGGGCTGGGGCCAGGAGGGCCTCCTGTGGGTGGACCCGTGGGCTCTGTCTTTATACTTGCCTGGGGGGCTGTCTGCAGTTGCATCAGGAACGTCCCCACCCAGTGCTAGGGGCTTTAGAGTCCTTTGTCTCTTAAAGAGGGCAGTTCTCTTCCTGTTCCCAAGCCACAGGGAAGAAAATTTGTGTTAAATGGATAATTAATGCGAGTTTTTCTGTACACGTGCACATGGGGGGGTAGACCTCCACAGGCTCACCCCGAGTTTACCCTAGGGTGAAAAGACTTGGGCCAGAAGGAAGAGGGGAGGTGGCAGCCAGCCTTGTTCAAGGAGCAGCCTCTGAATTCATGATGTCTCACGATTTACTGCAAAGGAAAGCCCCACCCTTAGCCTTTGAGGGCAGAAGTGACCATTCCCCCACCAGCCTGGGCGGTGTGGTGAGGAGGCTCTGGAAGCCCTGGCAGAGGCTTGGCTGGGTGCCCACCTCTTATAGAGGAGGTGCCCCACTTTCTCATAGGGGAGACTTCTGGAGCCCCATCCGACCCACAGGAAGAGCAGTGATTCCACCTGGCACTGGGGCCCCAGCTCTGTGTTAGGACCCTCCCTCCCCCAGGCATTCCTCCAGGAATTTGCCCTGGCCCTGGCCTCCTCAAAGGGCCTTTGTGTGTGTGTCTGTCTGGCTGGAGCCCTCACACCTGCCCTGGTCTCCATCCAGGTGATGAGCACCTGCTGACACAGGTCTGAGTCGAAGCTTGCTCTCAGCTCAGCTGTCACCTTCCACCCACCCTCAGGGGGCCATGCTGAGGGTCCAGAGCCTGCTCCTCTGGAAGAGAAAGGAGAGAAGCCAGGGAAAGGTGGGGGCTCACTCACAGCTAGCCACCTGGAGGGAAGCTGTGGCCCCCTCCTGATGTACAGCCCCTGCTCCACACCCCTGCAAACCCTGGATCCTCCCCACTCCCTTCCTATCCACAACCGCCACCCACCCCAGCTCCTCACTGACAACTCTGCCCCATGAAACCCTCTCCCGGTATGACGACCAGCGGTACCTCTGCAAACAGAAGACAGATCACGTCCACTGGCCCTTCCCAAAACTGTCCAGCTCCTTCCTACCACCCTTCGAATAAATTCCCAACTCCCACAGAGGCTGACAAGGTCCTGTGTGATAGGGTCTGCCCACTCCTGGACCCGCCTTCCAGTCAGTGCCACCAGCATCCTGCCACCTGGGGCCCTGGGCCTTCACTACCCTCCTGAGTGCATTCCTCCCCCTTCAGGCCTCAGCTGAAGGGTCACATCCTTAGAGAGGCCTCCCGGCTTTACCACGCCCTGTCCATGCCCCTACCCCACCGTTTGTAACTGAACATTTATTTGTGTGCGTCCGTTTTGGTTGTTTCTGTCTTGACCATTGGACTATGAGCTGAGGACGTCAGGGATGGAGTCTTGTTCCTGTTCTGCCCAGCGCCTGGAACTGCGCTTGGGACAGATGAGGCCGGCACCAATATTTGCAGAATGAATGAATGACCATACGGAAACTGAGGTATCCCTGAGTCCGCTCCCGAGGCGGGTTTAACCCCTTATCCAGGCTGAAGGGTCCGAGCAGGCCCTGCCCTCTGGGGCAAACGGGTGCGCGCCACAGCCGAGACGCGCGCAGCCTTTCGGTCGTTCCGGCCCCACCCCGCGTTGCCAGGCGCCTGTTGCCATTGCGCCGGAGCGAAACGGCGGGACCAGGGCCGGTGCGAGTGCACCGGCGTCTGTGCGGTCAAGACCCCGCCCCGCGTTGCCAGGCGCCCGTTGCCATGGCACCGGGGCGGTGGGCAGCTGGGCGCGCCGCCCCGCTGAGGGACGGCACAGAGCCCGGCCGCGGGCACCCGGGACAGTCCGAGCGCAGTGATGGGGGCCTCGCGGGCTCCCACCCGGACTTCGCCTGCGCCTCAGCCTGAGCCCAGCGCGCGGCCGCGCCGCCGCTTCCACACCACACTGCTGTTTTACTGGAGGAAGCGGGAGCGCCCTTCCGCGCGACGCAAGCCGGGCCTGGGCCGGGGACGCAGGCCGAGGGGCGTGAGCAGGGCACGGGCCTCCCGTCCCGCCGCCACCCGGGCCCAGACCCCCGCTAGGGAAGCGGCC